TGATGATGATGATGTTCCACTGAGTGACATGTGTTGGCTTAATGCTCTGATTTTCGGAATTATGTGAATCTTGTTCAGCTGATTGGAATTAAATACATTTCCTATGCAACATGACACAATTATTTGTTTTTATATAGCAGGATGAACAACAATTAAATTAATTGTATAGGGAGAGAGTGTTAAAGGGGCAATCTGCAGTGGTTACATCCATTTTTGTACTTATAAATGAATCATATGTACCCATTGATTCTTGAAGAATATAACTTATAAATGCCCCATGAGCTTAGTTAAAATGTTGTACCCAATCAGAACCCAATATATAATCTTGTTTTTATTCCAATGTTTGTAAACAACGTAAAGGTAAACCCTATATAGCTTCAAAATGGTTAAAACTAATTTTTATATTGTGGATGGTCAGTCCTTGCATCCATAGTTCTAACTATACATTTAAGAGTGATTAAATTTTTCCAGCCCCATCCCTCTGCTTTTTACCAAAATGGGGGTGGGAGAAAAGCTTTATTGTTTCAACTGCAGATTGCCGTTTTAAGGATGCAATACTGTCTTAATTTCATGCTGAACCATACCGACACCATAACTATACACACATAGGCAGACTATACTTCCTGTCACACTGAAGAAAACTTCCTGGTTTGAAGGTCCTTTGAGACTCTCCTTCCTGTTTGAGGCTGGCTTGTGACAGCTGCTCTCTCTGGTATGCACTTTGGCTTAAAATAACTTCTGCTCCAGTCAACACTTAGCATATCTGAATTCTTCTCACAACAAGGGCTGTGTTTACACAGAGCCCAATTGTGATATTTTGCCCAATTATAGGCAAAAGAGCTGATCTGATTGGTCAAAAGAACAGTTAGTGAACTAATATATATCAGAATTGGGCTCCCTGTGTAAATGCAGCCCCAGGTGCCACTGTTCTGTGAAGTGGCGAGTACCTTGCAGTTTAAAAGCCTGCTTGCTAGAAATGGACCTGAAGTTGTAAGACCTGATGCTTGCTAAGTATGCGAACAAAATGAGCAGTGAGATGGAGGTCATTCAATGGCCTATGCTCTGTAAAGGAGCCAAGTGCTTAATGGAAATGTAATGAGCATTGCCAGTGTCCCAAATTCTGCAAATAGATTGACGTAGGTATTTTTGGCAGTTAACACAACCAGGAATGTACCAACTGTAGAAATCTTCCCAGTGCAATTTGTTTCTTGGTAGTTTATTACAAGTATCTGTGATAAATCTTATTTGTGTGTCCTGCAGAAGAATGTCATTGTAATATACTAGTAGTGAGCAGTGGCGGCTCCTGAAAAAATTCTCAGGAGGGGCAATTTTTCTGATGATTTAGGTGACCTACACACATTTAAAAAAAGATATGTCCAGCAACAACATGAAGACAGGGGCAGCATATAAGTCAATACCAGAAGCATTTATTGACTGATCTCAAAAGTGTTGGCTTACCAGGGTTGGTGGAGCCCTCAGTTTCATCTTTGCCTCGCAAAGCTAACTCAAACACTCCGCAAAACTTCACACACTGGATTAGCCGGCTGAGGATGTGGCGGTTCTTGCTAATGTCGTAGTAAATATATTTGTTATAGTGAATATGGAATATGATATGTTGAGTAAAATGTTGTGCTAAGATCTATTTAGGTCAGGAGCTGGTTATAAGTTCTGTTCCTATCCAATAACAATGGACAAAAGGGTCCTATCTTGTCAGCCTTGTCAGCAGGTGGCCAAGGACAACACCCACGCCATAGGCCTCTCAGTTCTTCCAACTCACGAGTTCTTGCTCTGAGGACACACACACACACACAAACACACACATCATCACTGTTAAACACACACACACACACACACATCATCACTGTTAAACACACACACACACACACACACACAAAAATCCCCTCTCTTAGGCTGAACATTTGAAGACAGAGAACCCGACTCAGAGCCAATGCAACAGTGACAGTAGCCTGCAGGGGACCTCGCCCAACTCATCAGGACCAATCAGAAGATCAGAACTACTAGATTGAACCTACTTCATTTATTGCATAAAATGTCTGCACACAATGTTTCGGGGCTCTCTTCAGATAATAATAATAATAATAATAATAATAATAATAATATGCCATTTAGCAGACGCTTTTATCCAAAGCGACTTACAGTCATGCGTGCATACATTTTTGTGTATGGGTGGTCCCGGGGATCGAACCCACTACCTTGGCGTTACAAGCACCATGCTCTACCAGCTGAGCTACAGAAAGTGGATACTCATGGATGCGCATTGCAATTGTAAAATGTCAACACAATTGGAGACACCACGTCATTTTTGGAGACATGTTATTGACAGTAAACTATTGTAGATGCGACTGCTAACTAACTAAAACATTTTAGCTGGCTAGCTAATCATCTTAGCTAAATGTGGGGCAAACAATTAAGTTATTTACCGTTAATTTGAGGGATTGGGGTGAAAGAAATCGAGTTACATAGTGATACTTTACGATATACTGTATTGACAATATCGCAATATTTTAGCGCTAGTTGGCTGTACCTGCACCAAAACACCATTATTGTTCCTTCATAGCTTGTTCTCAATCTTTTCACATTGGGAGCCAATTTGTTTTCAGCACTTTTATTTCCATGACTGATCAAAACTCGTTCTCATGGCTTTCTGATCCCTCTGCAACAGACATATGGTGCGCAATAAAATCACAGTATCGAATCGCAATACGTATAGAATCATGAGACTCGCAATGCTGATGCATATATCTTATCGTGAGGTTCCTGGCAATTCCCAGCCCAAGTTCATTTTTAAGAGTTTGACGAACGGGTCCGTGAACGCGATTCCAGATATATTTACCTCTGAATAAACTGCCTTTATTACACCATATCCACATCCAGTAAACTTGTGATTATCAACACTAACCTCATCGTTGTGGCGGCGGACAGCTAGCCTGTATCCCTCGTCATCCAGTTGAGTGAGTGGCAATGTCTTTTTTCGTTCGTACCAATTTTTGGAAAATCCTCGGGTGTAGGACTTTCCGCCTTTAGTAGAAACCTGTTGAATTATTAAATTTGGTCTGGGAGGTCCTAATTGTTTCGTTGCCAATTTATCTTCATTTGTTCGCCGACAAAAAGGAACTTCTTTCAAACAATCCACTCTTTTCTCAGTTACGTTCATGGTTACGTAACGTATGACGAAAGCGCGTAAGTGCAAGCCCACAGACACCCATTGAGATTGTATTGAAGGCTCTGAAATTTGAAAAAAATAGATTTTACATGGGAGTCTATGACAGAAGTTCTGGGCGATTTTCAATCTGACTGAAATCGCCCCAAAAGGGGGTGGAGCCATTTGAAGCACGACTTTAGCCTGATTCGACATTTAGTGGCAGTGTGGCACTGTGGCAGATCAGACGTATAGATTACAACACTGATAACTACTGTTGCCGTGATATAATTGATTAGAAAAAAAATCCCTTCCTTTTCCCGTTTGGCAGTGCGTCGCCCATATCGCCCTATTGAACAGGCCGTCCCTGGTAGTGAGAACACCGAGGTGTCTCTGCATTGGCACCCTTTCCCTGGCCCAGTGCCTTGTATGGACGTCATGCCATTCCAGGGAACCAGCCCTACACTGTGACCTTTCCCAATTATCTGCTGCTGCAGAGAGCGGGGACTGCCATGTGAACAGCCGTTGCGTGACTGATGTCTTTGATACACACAAGTGAAGGAGATAATATGTGTACGAGAAAGACGTGAGTGGGGGCATAGCCTACATGCCTTGTATAGAATCATTAGATAAGCCTATATGATTCAAAGCACTTGTGCTTTTGAAGCAAATGTAACTTTCAGTCCAAATTGTTTATGAATATGTCAGACAACACACACACACACACACACACACCAGAATCATGTGTGGTTTTGAATCTCGATATCACTAGTGGCATGATATCAAAGCCACTCACTTCACCCTGACCCCTATTCCAGTGACACAGTCCTCTGAGAACAGTGTCTCTGACTGGTGGGGCATGGTATGTAATATATGGGGGAAGGGGGTTAATTTTTGAAACCCGACCTACACTGTAATTCTACTATTTCAGTATTTCTTAATACGCACCCAGCAGAGCCACTCTCTTGGCACCACATTGAACCAGAGGTCTAGGGGCCAAATAATGATTATGTTAAAACATGGTTCCCTTTTGGCAGAAGGGAGAGATTTTATTGGTGTGATTTACCTGGATGCATGACCACAACATCTCTCTCAATTCAATTCAAGGGTCTCTCTCTCTCTCTCTCTTTCTCTCTCTTTTTCTCTCTCTCTCTGTCACTTGTTATCATCTCACACCTCCCTCTCTCTTTTATGTCTCTCTCCCCAGCAGTGTTATGATAAGTAGTTGGTCTGCTTTCTGTCTGTGGCTCTCTACTCCTTGGGTTTCAATTCCAAACATGGTTATCCTACTAGGGGTCTCTCTCTCCCCCTCTCCCTCCCTCTCTCTCCCTCTCTCTCTCTTTGCTGCCAACTGTGAGCTCTCCAGAGCAAGCAAATGGGTGAGGGAAATAGAGAGAAAATCAAGAGACACACACAGCAAACATAGAGGGGGAAAAGAAGGGACGAGAGGGCGGGAGAGTGAAAGACGCACAATGTGAGGAGAAATCCATTCCAATCGTGTTTATGGTATAATAACCAAAGCAGGACGAGGAAATCTGTAGTCTAGCCGTACGTAAGAGGGCAACAGAGCAACTTTTGACAATTAATACCATTTTTGCAACGTTTTCTCTGTTTTAACAATACCTTGATTGAACTTTTAAGAAATAGACCAACTCCAGTGACAACTTTTCAGTCTCACTGATAAAGCAACAACAACAACTTGAGGCTTGAGTGGACAAACTTTTTCTACCAGCTTTGACCTCTGGTAGCGTAGTAAACTTTGGAATATTCTGAGTGTAACAGTTTTTTTGGAATTTATTGAACTAGATAGTTTGGTTTGGAAAAACAGCCTCCCTCCACCATGAGTGCAGACAACTCCACCCTGTTGGAGACAGTTCTCTACGGCCATCCACCATGCGATGGCTGGACCAAGAACACAGAGGGGGCCTTCTACCACCTGGGCAACACAGTCTTGTTCCTGGGGTACATGGGGGGCAGCAGCACCTACGGCTGCCTGTTCATCTTTGGTTTCATGACGCCTGCCTTCACCTGCCTGGCCCTGTGGGGCTGGATGACCATGTGTGGGGTGGATGTGTTCACCTGGAACCTGCTGCTGCTGGTGGCCTGCGTGCTCCAGATCTGCCACCTCATATACAGGCTGCAACAGGATGGCCTGGCCAACGAGGAGCTGTCGGCCCTCTACTCAGCCGTCTACCTGCCTCTGGACGTGCCCATACAGGTGTTCAAAGACATTGTGGGTGCCTGTGAGAACAAGGTGCTGGCCCTAAGGGTAGAGGAGACGTACGCAGTGGAGGGCAAGACGCCCATCAACCAGCTGTCCTTTCTGCTGTCTGGGAGGTGAGTGAGAGGAGGGTGTAAGTTCTAATGTCTGTAGCATACCATTTAGAATGCATGATCAATAGTACATTACTTAATTCATTCTTGGTAGTATGTTACTGGAGATATTGGAACAGACCCGAGTCTTGTTTTAGTTGAGTTGCTGGAGTAACATAGTCAATTGCAGTTTAGTTACATTGCTGTAGGCAGATTGCAATTGTCAAGTAGTAGAGTTATTGTTCCTAGTGAATGTTCTTCTCTTAGCATTTATCTCTTGATCTATCTGTCCAACAAAGACAATGGCTTAGACTAGGGCTCATGGAAACCTGAGCGACATATATCACTTACCAACAATATAATTAAACACAGAACACTTTCAAGAGGTCATGTGTCCTCATCAATGTTGGGGAAGCTACTCTGAAAATATAGTTTACCAAGCTACTAATTATTTTACATTTTAGTAATTTAGCAGATGCTCTTATCCAGAGCGACTTACAGTTAGTTAGTGCATACATTTTCATACTGGTCCCCCATGGGAATCGAACCCACAACCCTGGTGTTGCAAGCGCCATGCTCTACCAACTGAGCTACACTGGAAGAAGTTAAGCTACATTACTTCACACTGGAAGAAGTTAAGCTACACTAAAGCTACCCTCAAGAAAAATATATCTTACTTAACTGAAGTTAGTTAGAAAAAGTAGTACACTACATCCAAACTACTTCGTGAAAAATTATCATATCTAAATCTGAAATGTCATAGACTACAAATTGCAAGAAAAGATCACTCTGGAGTCAGATGTTAACAGAATGTATAATTTAGCCTATTAAACACAAAAAGTGAGAATTAGGCACACAAAGTGTTTCAAGTGAGACTTAGTCAGGTCTGATGATAAAAAAGAAAGGACATTTTTGCCTACTTCACCCATATTTTATTTTATTTTAACAAAAAAAAGTAGTGTGCAGTTCCAGTAGTTAGCTACACCACTACATGGCAAAAAAAGTAATTAACTACTGAAAACACTACCAAGATTTGAATTTAGTTCAACTACGACCAAGCTACTGCAAAATGTAATGCAATTAGTAGTTGAACTTAATGTAGTTCACTACTTCCCAACACTGGTCCTCAGCAGTGACTCCATCACTTCTCTGTTTTTTGGCTAAGATCATCATCTATATTTTTCATAGCTGTCTATTTACCACCACAAACCAATGCTGGCATTAAGATTGCACTCAATGAGCTGTATAAGGCCATAACTAAACAGGAAATCGCTCATCCAGAGGCAGCGCTCCTAGTGGCCGGGGACTTTAATGCAGGGAAACTTAAATCTGTTCTACCTAATTTCTACCAGCATGTTAAACGTGCAACCAGAGGAAAATAACCTCTAGACCACCTTTACTCCACACACAGAGACGCATACAAAGCTCTCCCTCGCCCTCCATTTGGCAAATCTGACTATAACTCTAGCCTCCTGATTCCTGCTTATAAGCACCAGTGACTCGGTTAATAAAAAAGTGGTCAGATGACGCAGATGTTAAGCTACAGGACTGTTTTGCTAGCACAGACTGGAACATGTTCCGGGATTCTTTGGAGAGCATTGAGGAGTACACCATATCAGTCACTGGCTTCATCAATAAGTGCATCTATGAAGTCGTCCCCACAGTGACCGTACGTACATACCCCAACCAGAAGCCATGGATTACAGGCAACATCCGCACTGAGCTAAAGGGTAGAGCTGCCGCTTTCATGGAGCGGGACTCTAACCCGGACGATTATAAGAAATCCCGCTATGCCCTCCGACGAACCATCAAACAGGCAAAGAGTCAATACAGGACTAAGATTGAATCGTACTACACCGGCTCTGACGCTCGTCGGATGTGGCAGGGCTTGAAAACTATTACAGACTACAAAGGGAAGCACAGCCACGAGCTGCCCAGTGACACAAGCCTACCAGACGAGCTAAACCACTTCTATGCTCGCTTCAAGGCAAGCAACACTGAAGCATGCATGAGAGCACCAGCTGTTCCGGATGACTATGTGATCACGCTCTCCGTAGCCGATGTGAGTAAGACTTTTAAGCAGGTCAACATTCACAAGGCCGCAGGGCCAGACGGATTACCAGGACGTGTACTCCGAGCATGTGCTGACCAACTGGCAAGTGTCTTCACCGACATTTTCAACATGTCCCTGACTGAGTCTGTAATACCAACATGTTTCAAGCAGACCACCATGGTCCCTGTGCCCAAGGACACTAAGATAACCTGCCTAAATGACTACTGACCCGTAGCACTGATGTCTGTAGCCATGAAGTGCTTTGAAAGGCTGGTCATGGCTCACATCAGCACCATTATCCCAGAAACCCTAGACCCACTCCAATTTGCATACCGCCCCAACAGATCCACAGATGATGCAATCTCTATTGCACTCCACACTGCCCTTCCCCACCTGGACAAGAGGAACACCTACGTGAGAATGCTATTCATTGACTACAGCTCAGCGTTCAACACCATAGTGCCCTCAAAGCTCATCACTAAGCTAAGGATCCTGGGACTAAACACCTCCCTCTGCAACTGGATCCTGGACTTCTTGACGGGCCACCCCCAGGTGGTAAGGGTAGGTAACAACACATCTGCCACGCTGATCCTCAACATGGGGGACCCTCAGGGGTGCGTGCTCAGTCCCCTCCTGTACTCCCTGTTCACCCATGACTGCATGGCCAGGCACGACTCCAACACCATCATTAAGTTTGCCGACGACACAACAGTGGTAGGCCTGATCACCGACAACGATGAGACAGCCTATAGGGAGGAGGTCAGAGACCTGGCCGTGTGGTGCCAGGATAACAACCTCTCCCTCAACGTGACCAAGACAAAGGAGATTATTGTGGACTACAGGAAAAAAAAGAGGACTGAGCACGCCCCCATTCTCATCGACAGGGCTGTATTGGAACAGGTTCAGAGCTTCAAGTTCCTTGGTGTCCACATCACCAACGAACTTTCATGGTCCAAACACACCAAGACAGTCGTGAAGAGGGCACGACAAAGCCTATTCCCCCTCAGGGGACTGAAAAGATTTGGCATGGGTCCTCAGATCCTCAAAAAGTTATACAGCTGCACCATCGAGAGCATCCTGACTGGTTGCATCACTGCCTGGTATGGCAACTGCTCGGCCTACGACCACAAGGCACTACAGAGGGTAGTGCGTACGGCCCAGTACATCACTGGGGCCAAGCTTCCTGCCATCCAGGACCTCTATACCAGGCGGTGTCAGAGGAAGGCCCACATAATTGTCAAAGATTCCAGCCACCCTAGTCATAGACTGTTCTCTCTGCTACCGCACGGCAAGCGGTACCGGAGCGCCAAGTCTAGGTCCAAAAGGCTTCTCAACAGCTTATACCCCCAAGCCGTAAGACTCCTGAACAGCTAATCATGGCTACCCGGACTATTTGCACTGCCACCCCACCCCCACCCCATCTTTTTACGCTGCTGCTACTCTGTTAATTATTTATGCATAGTCACTTTAGCTCTACCCACATGTACATATTACCTCAACTACCTCAACTACCTCAACTAGCCAGTGCCCCCGCACATTGACTCTGCACCGATAACCCCCTGTATATAGCCTCCCTACTGTAATTTTATTTTACTTCTGCACTTTCTTTCTCAACACTTTTTTGTTATTGTTGTTTTTATTAAGAAATAAATGCATTTAGTTGGTTAAGGGCTGTAAGTAAGCATTTCACGGTAACGTCTACACCTGCTGTATTTGGCGCATGTGGCAAATAAAATTTGATTTGATTTGTTGCTAAAGAGTTTTATATTTCTTTGCTCTCCTGAGGTTGTGTACCAACACAGTTAACTAACTCCTCCTATACGGCCTCTAAAATTAATGGTTAATTGAATATACTGACAGCTACGTGTCAAGTTTATAACTCCGGGAAAGCTAATTATTATCGTATGCAAATAACATCTGTTTATGACAACTAATTCATTTACATTTACATTTACGTCATTTAGCAGACGCTCTTATCCAGAGCGACTTACAAATTGGTGCATTCACCTTATAGCCAGTGGGATAACCACTTTCCAATATGTTTTTTTTTTAAATGTTTTTTTTGGGGGTGGGGTAAGGGGGGGTAGAAGGATTACTTTATCCTATCCCAGGTATTCCTTAAAGAGGTGGGGTTTCAAGTGTCTCCGGAAGGTGGTGAGTGACTCCGCCGTCCTGGCGTCGTGAGGGAGCTTGTTCCACCATTGGGGTGCCAGAGCAGCGAACAGTTTTGACTGGGCTTAGCGGGAACTGTGCTTCCGCAGAGGTAGGGGGGCCAGCAGGCCAGAGGTGGATGAACGCAATGCCCTCGTTTGGGTGTAGGGACTGATCAGAGCCTGAAGGTACGGAGGTGCCGTTCCCCTCACAGCTCCGTAGGCAAGCACCATGGTCTTGTAGCAGATGCGAGCTTCAACTGGAAGCCAGTGGAGTGTGCGGAGGAGCGGGGTGACGTGAGAGAACTTGGGAAGGTTGAACACCAGACGGGCTGCGGCATTCTGGATGAGTTGTAGGGGTTTAATGGCACAGGCAGGGAGCCCAGCCAACAGCGAGTTGCAGTAATCCAGACGGGAGATGACAAGTGCCTGGATTAGGACCTGTGCCGCTTCCTGTGTAAGGCAGGGTCGTACTCTCCGAATGTTGTATAGCATGAACCTACAGGATCGGGTCACCGCCTTGATGTTAGCGGAGAACAACAGGGTGTTGTCCAGGGTCACGCCAAGGCGAGATCATGGAACGGGCAGTCCTTCCCCGGGAGGAAGAGCAGCTCCGTCTTGCCGAGGTTCAGCTTGAGGTGGTGATCCGTCATCCACACTGATATGTCTGCCAGACATGCAGAGATGCGATTCGCCACCTGGTTATCAGAAGGGGGAAAGGAGAAGATTAGTTTGTCGGAGGAGAAGGTGGCAAAAAGCTTCCTAGGGTTAGAGGCAGATGCTTGCAATTCCTAGTTTCACTTGATTCAAACGAATTCCATCAACATGAATCATAAATGAAAGAGCACTGTTGGACTGTCTATGATTTATAAACCAAGAATATATGTTTTCCTCTGTCTATGTTTAACTTGGATCACTTCCCTGAGTTTTGAGGTTAAGGAGATAGATATTCATGTTAACTTGTTTCAAGGTTTTGGATTAAGCCTAGTGATGTGTGTATTTTCTCTCATTATCACCTATGCATGCTTTTCCCCCTCTCCTTCTCTCTTACTAACCTTGTCCTTTCCTGCTCTCCCTGGTAGGATCCGTGTGTCTCTAGAAGGACAGTTCCTCCATTACATCTTCCCCCACCAGTTCCTGGACTCACCTGAGTGGGAGTCTCTCAGACCCAACGAAGAGGGGAACTTTCAGGTACTGGACGGATTCTCATCATTCATTCATTCATTCACGCATTAATTCATTGATTTCTGAACCTTTAGTCTTTTCCTTCACTCTTACCCCTGACTTTTGACATTCCTGACCCCCAGGTGACCCTGACGGCAGAGACGGACTGCCGCTACATCTCGTGGCACCGGCGCCGCCTTTACATGCTGCTGTCCAAGGAGCGCTACATCACTCGCCTCTTCTCTGTCATGCTGGGCAGCGACATTGCCAACAAGCTCTACTCACTCAATGATAAGCTCTTCGCCAAGAGCGGCGTGCGCCTCGACATCCGCCTGCCCAGTCTCTACCATGTCCTGGCCCCCCCACCCCCGGGCAGCGAGGGTGAGGTCTGTAGCGGCAGTGGTAGTGCCAGGGACCAGGTAGCCCCAGTGGAGCAGCAGGAGGCAGCAGTGGTGGATGTGGACCCGGTGCCAGCCTACCAGAAGTCAGAGCCTACAACACCCCCGACCCCACGGCTGCAGATCCAAGAGAAGTCCCCCACCCCATCAACGGCAACCCCCCACCAACCCCGGGGCCCACCCTCCCAGCGTCAGCCCTGGCCCTCAGACATGGAGATGCCCTCTGGTGAGGACTCCACCAGTCTGGTCCTGGAGGATTTTGCTGATATGACCGGGTCCTTAATGGATTATGGGAGTGAGAGGGATTATTTGAGGTAGAGGGCAGGTTGCTGGAGCTAACACACTGGGCCACTACTTAAGCTACATGTAAGTACACCTGTGTGCAGTGAGAGGGTGTGCTGGGCGGGGGGTTGCGTGTTTTGCTTGCTGTGTCCACACTCTCACTAATCCAGCTTTAAAATGGCAATGCCCTGTGGTAAAGAACATCATTTCAACTTTGCAATGATTTAAGTGATTTTCTGTTTGTTTGTTTTTGCACATATCTTATGCGGAGGCTATACACTGCTTGCTCTTTCGCTTTTGAAAATGATATGAACGTTTAAAGAGTGAGTTAGTCAAATCAATAAATGTTTTGGTCAAAATCAATGTGCCTGAGAGAAAGAACATTAGATTGACCAAAGAGTTGGCTGAACTGGGACACCTCGCCTCTTGGGTACCCACCCAACCCCAAAGGTCTCTCTGTCTCTGAGGATTGTTGTTCTAAAGTTGACCTACACTCCATCTCAGGATCTCCACCCCAAAAACTCTTATTATACTGTATATGTACACTACCGGTCAAAAGTTTTAGAACACCTACTCATTCAAGGGTTTTTCTTTATTTTTACTATTTTCTGCATTGTAGAATAATAGTGAAGACATCAAAACTATGAAATAACACATATGGAATCATGTAGTAACCAAAAAAGTGTTAAACAAATCAAAATATATGTTATATTTGAGATTCTTCAAATAGGCACCCTTTGCTTTGATGACAGCTTTGCACACTCTTGGCATTCTCTCAACCAGCTTCATGAGGTAGTCAACTGGAATGCATTTCAATTAACAGGTGTTCCTTCTTAAAAGTTAATTTGTGGAATTTCTTTCCTTCTTAATGCGTTTGTGCCAATCAGTTGTGTTGTGACAAGGTGGGGTGTTTCTTAATGTGCAGTCGCAAAAACCATCCAGCTCTATGATGAAACTGGCTCTCATGAGGACCGCCACAGGAAAGGAAGACCCAGAGTTACCTCTGCTGCAGAGGATAAGTTCATTAGAGTTACCAGCCTCAGAAATTGCAGCCCAAATAAATGCTTCACAGAGTTCAAGTAACAGACACAACTCAACATCAATTGTTCAGAGGATCAAGCCTTCATGGTCGAATTGCTGCAAAGAAACCACTACTAAAGGACACCAATAAGAAGAAGAGACTTGCTTGGGCCAAGAAACACGAGCAATGGACATTAGACCGGTGGAAATGTGTCCTTTGGTCTGGAGTCCAAATTGGAGATTTTTGGTTCCAACCGCCGTGTCTTTGTGAGACGCGGTGTGGGTGAACAGATGATCTCTGCATGTGTATTTCCCAACGTAAAGCATGGAGGAGGAGGTGTTATGGTAAGGGGGTGCTTTGCTGGTGACACTGTCTGTGATTTATTTAAAATTCAAGGCACACTTAACCAGCATGGCTACCACAGCATTCTGCAGCAATACGCCATCCCATCTGGTTTGGGCTTAGTGGGACTATCATTTGTTTTTCAACAGGACAATGACCCAACACACCTCCAGGCTGTAAGGGCTATTTTACCAAGAAGGAGAGTGATGGAGTGCTGCATCAGATGACCTGGCCTCCACAATCCCCCGACCTCAACCAAATTGAGATGGTTTGGGATGAGTCAGACCGCAAAGTGAAGGAAAAGCAGCCAACAAGTGCTCAGCATATGTGGGAACTCCTTCAAGACTGTAGGAAAAGCATTCCAGGTGAAGCTGGTTGAGAGAATGCCAAGAGTGTGCAAAGCTGTCATCAAAGCAAAGGGTGGCTAATTGAAGAATCTCAAATATAAAATATATTTTCATTTGTTTAACACTTTTTTGGTTACTACATGATTCCCCATGTGTCATTTCATAGTTTTGATGTCTTCACTATTATTCTACAATGTAGAAAATAGTAAAAAATAAAGAAAAACCCTTGAATGAGTAAGTGTTCTACAACCTTTGACCAGTAGTGTATGTACAGTATATTACAGCCTCTCCCCCACTCCTCTCCCGGTATGTGGCATGCCCTCTTGGTAGCTGGGTGTAGAGTGTATATGGAGAGTGTGTTTGTTTAGCTAGGTTAGTTAGACTGTCCTTTCTGGCTGGATTCCAAGGCTTGGCCAGATGAAAAACAGTGTTGAGCTACAGTTTATGAAAGTTTACAAAACAGTTTACCGCAGAGTGACCCTGGTAGCTCATGTTGGTTCAAACAGATGGGGGTACCATCTGTATGTATGTTGGAGGTTTGTAGTTTGGAACAGGATGGAGAGACAGCAGGGTTGTGGTGGGGGGCTGGCAGTCAACTGTGTGTTTTCTCTGACGGAGACAATGATTAGAGCCTGCTGGAAACTGGGGATATCCTGGCAGTCAGAGATCCAGTGCCATGCCATTAATCCACATGCCTACCCACTCCCCCTCCCTTTTCCCCGCTATCCCAAAATCCTCCCTGACCCAATTGGGGGCAGATCGTGTTTCGGGCGGCGGGGGAGAGGAGGGAGAGGGGAGCAAGAGGGGGGTTGGATTCCAGGACAGCTGCCGGGTGCTTGGTGGAGGGCTCTGGCTCTGCTGTCATTGTAATGGCTGCTGCTGACCTTCAGGTACAGGCTATGGTCAGTTAGACAGTGGCTACGGCAAGCTGGTGAATGACAGGGGTGAGGGATGAGAGAAGGGCGAGGGATGAGAGAAGGGCGAGGGATGTGGGTCATATGAAAGCAGAGACCAGCCAGGCTCAGAGAACAGCCCATCAATCCAATGTCATTGTGACATCACAGGTCAGTAGTTCCCCCATCTCTCACTGTTAACCAGTTCAGGTGTCAGGAATGTGAGGACTATGCTGGTGTAATTCGACCAATGTGAGCATTCGTTGTGAGATCATGTTGCAACCCTACACTATCCTGTATGTTAAGCTGTAAGGCATGGTACATAGCATTTAGGTGAAAATGAAATACTCTCTGTACTGCCTGCCTGCCATAAGGAAGGTTGTCGTAGGAACAGTTCTGCTTGTGTTTTTTGACAGATTTCTCTGTTGATTCCACAGGAGGGGAAACCACTGGGACTCTACCAATGCGATACCAAAGAGGGAGAGCTCCTCTGGCCCCCACGGACACCCCTAAACTGTGATAGTTTTACCCAAAGTGCAAACAGTTCCAGGTTGTCTTTATTACAGTCGTGCTGTGCAGATTATAACACTATCACAAAATGTTTATACATAGCTATAGCATTTTCCTGAGATGACCAGTGGAACTGCAGGAAAGACAACCTGGGATATAACTATCACCACTGTCCTGGGTGGAATCAGGCCCACCCAACACCACATCCTAGTCTCTCACCTAACATTATCTCACTCCTGTGATGTCATCTGTGCGTGACAATAAAGGAGAGAGAGAGACTCTGGACACTGAACAGAATTATGTTATAAAACTGAATTTATTAGTTAATGTCACAGAAATGACGGTATACTCTTTTTATTATGTCACTCACATCTCCCATTCATCTGGATGGAAAGCCTTTTGACTTAGAGATTGTGTTAGATAGGATTATGATATTGTGATTCCACATTAAACTAATCATGTGTATTAGATTTTTTAACATCCGGGGTTGGGTTGGCTAGCTAGGGGCACGTTAATCTTGTTTGTTTGTGCAGACATAATCTGAGAGAATAATGTTTGACTGAGAGCATGCTAAAATGGTTTTCTCTTCATACATACATATTTTCAAATCATGATTCCAAATTGAACAGGCAGACACACACTTCTGCATTGTGTGTATGTGCTTGAGAACGTGAGATGTCTCACACATTGTAAATTTAGTCTGAAAAACATAGAACAGGAGTATTTTGTTTGTGTTGTTTTCCCCCAAAAATGTGGGCCTACATATATACATAATGTGATAAAAATGTATTTTCATGGGGCCAATCTTTCTCCATAAAGCTCTTGGTGAAAATGCATTGACTGTCATTTTTTCATCTATGTCTCCTCTCTCCTCCATCCTCAGTCAGAATAAGATTGAGTCTTGAAGTTTATCATGATGAGTTATTCAAACTCATCACAGTTTCACATTGAACACATTGCTCACCCCTGCTTCTCAGAACTGTTTTGCTTCAACAGAATATATTAATTAAGTAACATTTAGCTGCATTGGAATGATTATGTACAGCAATACTAATGCTGTTAGAAAATACAAAAGAAATGTAACAATAAGAAAATTGTAGCATAGTCTGGCTGTAGGTGGTCCAACAGTAACATATGAATGTGTATGTGTGTGTGTTTGTATGTATATTTGCAATATACTTGGCTGCATGTGTGTGTTTCTGTGTGAGCTGGAAACAGGCTGCGTCCCAATAAAACTCATCATTTCCTTTCCTTCATGACTAATGATAAGGACAGCATATAATAATAATATAATATGCCATTTAGCAGACGCTTTTATCCAAAGCGACTTACAGTCATGCGTGCATACATTTTTTTGTGTATGGGTGGTCCCGGGGATCGAAGCCACTACCTTGGCGTTACAAGCGCCGTGCTCTACCAGTTGAGCTACAGAGGACCACAGCATAGGCTTCCTCCTTACTGCTTAGACCTATCAAAGCCTTCCACATCATTGATGACAAAGGAAAGGAGATGAGGATAGGATTCTGTTTCAGAACTATCGGGATGTTGACAGAGAGAAAGAAACAGATGTTGGTTCATAGGCTGTGTGTGTGTTTAGTACATAAGGGTTCTCAATAACTCCCACACAGCTGCACAAAATCATGGTTCCACGGAGATCCTCGTCTTATGTCAATCTTCTTCACACACAATGACAACACTTCTCTGAAAGGGAAACAGATGAGAAACAGTGTCATATGCACACACATGTACACTCACACATACTGCATGCTGCTGTGTGGTGTATGTGTGTGAGAGAGTGTGAGAGAGCATGTGTTAAATAGATGAAAGGACATATACCCGACAGAGGGGAACTCTGATATGCAGACAGACATAAAGTGGATGTCTCCCTGTCTGTAGAAGCGTGCTCCAGTGTTCTTCAGCTGTATGGAGTCTATCTTACACAGTGGCACCGGGTGGGCTATCACCCTCCTGTAAACGGTACCGTCTGTCTCTCTGGAATACACACACGCACACAGCATGCCTGTTACTGAGAATATAATCCATGTTTACGTATCATAAAGTGAACAGCTGTGATTCATGCTGCTGTCTAAATCATTTTGTGTCTCTAACAGTGAGGTTAGAGGTTGTTATACCTACAGCCTGAGTCTATGCTCTGTTTCAGGAAGTCCCCTAGTTCTCAGGGTCACCTGCACTTCAGCAGACTTGTCCAGGGGGGACACCTCCAGCTGCACTAGGATGTGATGGGCTGAGGGGTGAGGGTGGCGGAGGGGGACGGAAAATAAGTTTATCATCATCACTTCAAATATTGCTTTATTTAACCATTCAACTGTGGGGTGAAAGTAGTGGGGATGTGTCATGAAATTTCAAAAAATTTCTGCTGGACAGTCAGTCTGAGATCACTAGAGGTAGGCTAGATATAGCTGCTCACCACAGAAAGGAGGTGCAGAGGTTGTCAGGAGGAAAAGCTTCTCTTGTTGAGGAAGAGGAGAGACTGTTATACCACTGTTCTCCAATAACCCTGAAACACACAAGGACACATGCACGTACAAAAGACAGAGAGTGAGATGTAAAGTAGCCCTTCCTATTGCATCTATGACAGATGAACGAGCTCCAGAGTACATTAACTGGTTTATCTGTATAAGTCTGTCACTGTATCTGCAGTGCCAGTGCGCCACAGTGATACTGTAAATGGACGCCAGACCAGACGTGACACTAGCTAGGTCAGACAGAAGCCCTATCTCTCATTGAGTGAAACCTGATTAAGGTGAAAATAGAAAGTGTGCTGGGAACTTTGAATATGATTAGGCCTATTCAAAATATCCTCTCTAAACACATTTGAACATGATCAAAATCGTTTACATATAGTCTACTATACATGTATGAAGTGGCTATATATTATTTTTACATTTGCATGATCAAAGTACTCACAGACAGCAGGTTGGTATAATTTTCAGGAAAGTTTGTCATGTTGATAACCCTACCTATTTGTGGACATGTGCCATTGAAGGCACCTTGGCAGCCTAAACAGCGGCCCTTGAGGAAGTCCTCATAGCTGGAACAAGGGATGCCAGTCAGTGGGCAGGGCCCGTTCAGTGCGCTTATGTAGACGTGGAGCGCCCTCATGTGGTCACAGATCACGTACCCATACACTGGAAAGTAGACAAGAACTGACAACAAACGAAGAGGCTCAGGTAGCCATCAGCTTACCACCAAATATATATTCTTGCTAGTAGTGAATGTTAGTACTTAGTTGACAATGATATGTCTGATGTTTATGTAGGCCTATAGTACTATCATACACAGGCCCAGGGGCATTATGGAAGTTGTAGAATATATCATTTTTCAAACACCTGAAACAGCTTTTCCTGCAATTTAGAGCCATAATTATTATGATTGATTCTATATAAAAAATATATGTATATTGTTCTGCATATCTAAGCATACCTCTTGAGGTGTCTGTATCCATCTGACTGGTGGTTCTTATTTCTTAAGAAACTAAATATACTTCTCTGTAAAAATCTGGGTAAAAGATTGAAAGGAATGTGAGTCTTATTCAGTACATTTAGTAATTGCTTGCTTTTCTAAAGTCTACCAACCTTGCCAGCAGGCATGCCAGTTAAGATAGCTAGACAAGCTAGCTACTCTAACTTGATTGATAGCCTAAAATGGCTTCTTGATAGCTAGTTATCAGGTTGGGAGATTGCGGACCTATCTGGGCTAGCTAAAGCCAACTTCATAAAATTGCTAGGTGGGCTAGTAGTATTACAGAGAAACAACAAAAAATGTAAAAAATTCAATTAAAATAAAGGACAAATCTGAGGGAACACGTGCCCCTGTGCCCCCCTATGGGCATGACGCCTCTGCACAGGGGTCTATGCCAATTGTAGTAGGATGTCCTCCTCAATTTAGATAATATTACACCAATTAAACATTTTGGCGGCAAAAGCACGCACTTACTTGACTCAAACCTTGAGCGTGCACAACCTGCCTGGTCCATCCCGCCATTAAGGAAGAAGTCAGCATGGCCAACAGGGATGGAGATGCCGAAGTCTGAGAGAAAATGTAGACAAATGGCTGATATCAGGAGATTGTCAGGTAAGCAGTGTTGCTGGGGTGCCGCCAACATTTGTGTAGTGAATAAGACATAATTTCCAAGGAACTAGACCTACAACAAAACAGAACACACTAGCATCCAAACATTATTTGTGTGTATTCTCTTACAGTCAGAGTCTGTGTGGATGGCCTCCACAAACAGTGCGTCTGAGGGGTCAAGACGGTCAAATGTGTCGGCTCCTTTAAACATGGGTCCAGCTGGGTCCAGACCTACAGGAGGAGATTCAGACAGACCAGTGAATGACTGAGGTGAGTGAGTGATAGGCTACAGCAGCAATGGGCAACTTTGATGGGGGTGGGGTTCACAAAAAATGCATCATGAGTGGCCGCAGTGGCCCGTGGGTCTGCGTACCAACATCCATATAGAGCAGTGCGGGTAAAACATTTAAGCGGCCCCTCAAAATCTGTTTTAGAGTTCATTTCCTGCAATTCTACACATTTTACCATGGGGCGTAGAGAAAATGTTGCAGTTTTAAAGCAAGTTTGCTGCAATTGTACAGATGTTGCCATGGGGCGAAGAGAAGATTTTGCCATTTTATAACTAATTTCATGCAATTCTGCTCATTTTGCCATGGGGCAGTTTTACAGCAAAAAGAGGGGGCATATGGCACACACACACACACACACACACTCACACACACACACACACACAAACACACACACACACACACACACACATACGGCTGTGAATTACTGCACCTAAACATTCAGACTACTTCACATCACAGGGCTGAATGCCTCTACTCAGACAAAAACACCAGAGATAGTGTGCAGACAGACAATTGTATGCATTGTGCCATTGTGTGTACTCAGAAGGGTAACGTCTCCCTCTTTCACAAATTCAGAGCGGCGCTTTTCAATGTCTGCCACTGTTGTTTTCTGGAGCGCGCTCTCTCTTTCACAAAGCCTCATTCAGTCCAATTGGCAGAGATGAAAGGGTGAGTGACTGCCCTGCTTTGTGGTGACCAGTCGTTGTCTGGCCCTGTAGAGCCTTGTTCTGCAGACAGGAAATGCCCTGTGGAACTGTTAATGGGTCAGACACAGATGGAGCTCACCTGTGATTCTCCCTATCTCACCCTTGAACAGGGTCCCCACGAATGCAGAGACGTGTGCCCCGAGACTAACCCCAATGAAGTGAAATGACTCCAGTTTGCATCCATGGTTCTGTGAGACAGACATCAGTTCTACATTATTTTCATTTCTTTTAACTTAATTTGCTGTCTGTCAGTGAACATTGAGATTGCATTTATCAGTATGTAAACATAAACAAATGAGTAGGCCCTGACCTGGAGCTGGTTGATGAGGACAGAGATCTGGACGGCCACCTCCTTGTAGTTCTCCACCACCAGGTTGTAGGCGAAGGAAGCCCCGTAGACCCAGTCCACCACCACCACGTTGGCATCCTGCGCCCGCAGCAGAGCCTGGGCCAGGTCCTTTACCCAGGACGGCTTACTGCCCCAAGCCCTGGGAGGGAGGGAGGGAGATAGCTTGTACGTTTTATATGTAGATCCCCTCGCACTTCATATGTGCCCACCTCCTCAAAGAGAGTGTGAACATACTGTGTCAAGTGTTTGACCACCCTCCCTTTCTCCTCACCTGTATCCATGGACAATGATCTTGGTGGGTAAGGAAGAGTTGAAGTAGGAGGTGTTGTTGCTGAGGCACTCCTGACTGAAGAGGCTGGCACAGTCTGTATTCTTGCGTGTCAGGAGCAGGTATTGCACCTGTAGCTTGCTGCCCTGCTGACGGTACTCCAGCCAGGTCGTGTTGTTGAAGTCAGCACATTCTGATCTGGGCTCCTCATCCTCCCCTGCTGGTTCAGAGGAGAAATGTCCATAAAGAACCTTGAAGACAACAACAACACCACCAACAACAACGACAAAAAAATCATGTTTCACAACAGAGTTCTTTACATACAGTGAAGTGGCATATGCTATAATAAATACGCTTAGAGCAAGGATAGGGTTTATTCATTACATGAAAATGGATTAGGAAGAAGCTTCTGCAATAGAGATGAGTGGTACTTACCTACTGTGGACGTGATGTAGAAAGCTAAAATACTGAGAAAAGTTTCCGCTGTTTTCAGTTTCCAGCCCATTCTCTTGAAAGAAGAATGTCACAAATGGTAACTTGGTCCGTAGCTTTACCGCTTAGGTTGGTGAACTGTGCCTCAGATCCTTAGCTTTGGAAAACCTATTTTCCCTCCCAACAGTGCTTGAAGTTACTATTTAATAATACTGTAGTTCACTTTGGCTCTGGAAATGCTATTTCAATCCTCTACTGGTCAACAGTAACCACAAACAGGGCAGGAATCTCCTTAAGAGAATTAAGTCACACAAAATACGTTATTTCACAATGCCTGGCATTGAAATACTAAGTTACGACATCTGATTACAGTACAGAGATGGGGGGCTGGGGGAATTTACTTCCCTGCTTTCTCGAAAGCTCAGCTGGCACAGTAAACTAGGCTTATGAAAACATACCCACATACCCATGTACCCCTCCTGCTCCAGTCGTAGGTCGGTGTTTTGTTTAGGACCCAGTGCTTGGTCTAGTGCTTAGTCTGTATGGGGAGGGGGGGGGGGGGGGGGGGGGGGGGGGGCTGTGGATCCATGACCTCACTGGTGATCAATGCCTGTTTGTTTTCATGCTGGACTCTGGCCATCTGGGGGTGACACTCACTGTGTTACATGGTGATAAGCTACATTTCAGCAATGTATTACCAATTCTACCTTTATACTAGTACATGTCAATTTAGAGATGGACCTGCAACTGCAATCTGACTGTAGTAGTTTATAATGAGACAGGCAGCTATTACATATAACAGTCCTCCTCACTAGAGAATTAGGTCAAGGGCATGTATTGTTTCTGGGATTGAGAATACATTCTGTCTCCTCTTCTCTTGTTAATTAACAATGTTATCAACTGGATTAGGCAGAGTGGTTGTAAATGGAAACAGACCAGGAAAGGAAAACCCAGACATTTGATTTGTAATCACACAACTTTAATATACACGTTTATAGACCACTGTAATAATGATTATAAGCATCGACCAGGGGATGGTCAGCTATAGGAACAGTCTTACAGGCAGGGCCTGGGGCAATTATTTAGCCTTTATTCGCTTTCTTTCTTTGGGTAACTGGGAAGCCACCCAATCGATGGTCCGCTTACGTGCCTCCTCCCAGCTGTACCGGGGGGCGTACCCCATGTCCCTCTGAGCCCGCCGATTGGAGAAGCTAAAGGGCATGTTCAGCATGTTGAGGAGCTTCCGGTTTATGGGCGGGGACCTGAAGCCCAGCGGCGACAACACAACATGGTTGAAGTCAGAGTAGCTGACGGGTGGCGTGTCGTCTGAGATGAGAAGTTCCCTCCAATGGCGGCTCTCCACTGGGGGTATCACAGGGTGGGCGCGGGCGACCTGGAGGTGGGCCAGGGCTGCGTTTCCCACGTACACAGGGTTCACCTGGGCCTCCGGGTGGGAGGTACGGTACAACACGTCCCCATTTCGAATCCCGTCGCTCATGTGGCCCAGCAGGAATCGTCAGCCCCCTCCGTAGATGTACATGGGTCTGAGGGTGCAGGTGGCCAGCCAGCCCCCGTTCTGGAACACCTCGCCCTGGGCTTGCAGGGTGACCCGCTCAGCTTCTTTCTTGGTCCTGCAGTAGGGGATCTTTATGGAGCACGTGTAGGGGGTGTTCTTGTCACCGTTGATGATGGGGTCTCGGTTGGTTTTGGGGCCGGCCACCTCAACCTGGTGTAGATGAAGGACACCACATTCTTCTGGACGTACGTCTCCAGAAGCCAGAAGGAGCTGGGTTCCTGAGGAAGAAATTAGATGAATGAGTATATTAGCAGGTTCAATTCAGTTTTCAAGCGCAGCTCAAGTATTTGAAAGTATTGGACATGCGTATTTCACTCAGGTCTGCTGCCAATCCCAACCCAAAGCTTCAGTGAAACCCGACCATACCTTTGACGTTGACTCCGTGGAGCTCGCTGTAGTCCAACTTCCCGGTGACGTCTATGAGGGAAGCGGTGTGGAAGACTAGTGATGCTCCCTTACACGCTCTCCTCAGCAGCTCACTGTCCCTGATGTCCCCCTCAAACACACTCACCACAGTGTCACCTCTGACCTCTAACAACAAACAGAGAAGAGAAAAACAGATCAGAGAAGAAACAAACCAAAGAAAACAAGTTGTAAAACTTTACCCCAACCCTGGTATGGACAGAGAAAAAAAGGAGAGCTGGTACAGTATTTACCTTCCAGAGACTGTATGCGTTGTGGTCAGACATGTTTGTCCAGCAGATGGATCTCTGAGAGTTTCCCTTCCTCCAGCAGCAGCCGGACCAGCCTCTCCCCCAGGAACCCACAGGCTCCTGTCACCACACACATATTGCCTTGTAGCGCATGGCCCAGTCCACATGCTGAACGTACTACCCCTCTCAGAAAACTCCCTTTTCTAGCCACTGGGAATGACCAATGCTTCGGACTTGGTCCCCACTCGAATCCTATCACCCCACTCTATTATCCCCCTCTGTGACAACCCCTTTCTCTGGCCTGAGGGAATGTGCTAGAAGTGATGGTAACTCTGCCACTCTGGGGCGAGAAGTGAGGCAAGTTCTAGAGGCGGACCGATGCAAGAGAGGGAGGGAGGTCAGGGACATTTTATTCCCCAGTATCTGCCAATGATGGCCACCAAGGCTACTGGCCCCAGACCAGCCAAGGAAAACAGTTTTCAATGACTTGGAAGTCAAACCGACGTCTGCCAGATGACTAACGATTCGCTTTGCTCTCCCATTGACACAGTGATGAACTGATTCTGGTCAGGGTAGAGTCAATACGCTGCATATTTAGTGTCCGGTTTACTTTGACAGGCTTGGCCACTGATTCTCAACATGGTTTGTAAAGCATCTACAGTATATTCACCCTAACAGTGTCATTTATTACATATCTGAAACCTAATCTTGGATCTGCATGTTGACATTAGGATCAGCTTCGTCATGAGTAGCATATGTTGAAGTGCTTTCATCCTCTCAGAAACTGCCAAATGTATGTGATTGCAGGTGGTTTGGAACATACTAAGATTCTAGGGTTACACACGTCTTTGTCACACCCTGATCTGTTTCACCTGTCTTGTGCTTGTCTCCACCCCCCACCAGGTGTCTCCCATGTTTCCCCATTATCTGTATTTATACCTGCGTTTTCTGTTTGTCTGTTGCCAGTTCGTCTTGTCTTCTCAGGTCGTACCAGCGTATTTTTTTTCCAGTTTTCTTGTTTCTCTAGTTTTTGTTTTTAGTCTTCCCAGTTCTGACCCTTTTGCCTGTCCTGACCTTGAGCCTGCCTGCCGTCCTGTACCTGCCTGACTCTACCTGCCCTTTGCCTGCCGTCTGTGTTAAAATAAATATATCTGAGATACAAACTATCCGCCTCCTGTGTCTGTGTCACCGCCTTGGTGTTAGCGGAGAACGACAGGGTGTTGTCCAGGGTCACGCCAAGGCTCTTTGCACTCTGGGAGGAGGACACAACGGAGTTGTCAACCGTGATGGCGAGATCATGGAACAGGCAGTCCTTCCCCGGGAGGAAGAGCAGCTCCGTCTTGCCGAGGTTCAGCTTGAGGTGGTGATCCGTCATCCACAATGATATGTCTGCCAGACATGCAGAGATGCGATTTGCCACCTGGTTATCAGAAGGGGGAAAGGAGAAGATTAGTTGTGTGTCGTCTGCGTAGCAATGATAGGAGAGGCCATGTGAGGATATGACAGAGCCAAGTGACTTGGTGTATAGTGAGAATAGGAGAGGGCCTAGAACTGAGCCCTGGGGGACACCAGTGGTGAGAGCACGTGGTGCGGAGACAGATTCTCGCCACGCCACTTGGTAGGAGCGACCTGTCAGGTAGGATGCAATCCAAGAGTGAGCCGCGCCGGAGATGCCCAACTCCAGGCTCTGTCGTAGCCGGCCGCGACCGGGAGACCCATGGGGCGGCGCACAATTTGTCCAGGGTAGGGGAGGGAATGGCCGGCAGCGATGCAGCTCAGTTGGTAGAGCACGGCGTTTGCAACGCCAGGGTTGTGGGTTTGATTCCCACGGGGGGCCAGTATAAAAAATAAAAATAAATGTATATGTATGCACTCACTAACTGTTAGTCGCTCTGGATAAGAGCGTCTGCTAAATGACGTAAATGTAAATGTAAATGTAAATGTAACTCGGAGAGGGTGGAGAGGAGGATCTGATGGTTCACAGTATCAAAGGCAGCAGACAGGTCTAGAAGGACGAGAGCAGAGGAGAGAGAGTTAGCTTTAGCAGTGTGGAGAGCCTCCGTGACACAGAGAAGAGCAGTCTCAATTAATGACCAGTCTTGAAACCTGACTGGTTTGGATCAAGAAGGTCATTCTGATAGAGATAGCAAGAGAGTTGGCTAAAGACGGCACGCTCAAGAGTTTTGGAGAGAAAAGAAAGAAGGGATACTGGTCTGTAGTTGTTGACATCGGAGGGATCGAGTGTAGATTTTTTGAGAAGGGGTGCAACTCTCGTTCTCTTGAAGACGGAAGGGACATAGCCAGCGGTCAAGGATGAGTTGATGAGCGAGGTGAGGTAAGGGAAAAGGTCTCCGGAAATGGTCTGGAGAAGAGAGGAGGGGATAGGGTCAAGCGGGCAGGTTGTTGGGCGGCCGGCCGTCACAAGTCACAAGATTTCATCTGGAGAGAGAGGGGAGAAAGAAGTCAAAGTATAGGGTAGGGCAGTGTGAGAAGGACCAGCGGTGTCATTTGACTTAACAAACGAGGATCGGATGTCGTCAACCTTCTTTTCAAAATGGTTGACGAAGTCATCCACAGAGAGGGATGGGGGGGGGGGGGGGGGGGGGGATTCAGCAGGGAGGAGAAGGTGGCAAAGAGCTTCCTAGGGTTAGAGGCATATGCTTGGAATTTAGAGTGGTAGAAAGTGGCTTTAGCAGCAGAAACAGAGGAAGAAAATGTAGAGAGGAGGGAGTGAAAAGATGCCAGGTCTCCATTTCCATTTCAAACGTTGCTAACACCAGCTAGCTAGCCATTTAATATAACTTAAAGGGCTGCAGTCCAAACTCAAGGTAGACAGCCCTCGGCCCTAAACCCTCAGCCCTTGAATTACATTTTACATCGTCACATCCGAGTGTACCTTATCAAATGTCCCTTGCATAAGCGATGATCGGAGAGGCAACATCCTTGGTGGAAATCTTGAAGTTGAGTTAAAAAACAACCAACCATAAGCTATTAATGTACCTAGCAAGCTAACGTAGCTAGCTACAGTTACCCATAGCTGGCTAGCTAGTTTTATAGTTTGGTCATTTATTCCAATAAATGTCATAATTCCCCAAAATATGTTTATGAAGTTATGTTTTATAGGATCCTCACTATGAGACTAAGTCAATTTGCCAACTCTAAAAATCTATGTAATCTATATCTTTTAAAAAGCTAAAATCATAATTTTAACTGACATGCCGAAAATGCAGCCCTGTTGATTAAATTTGACACTTCGCGGCCATCGGAGTTTGACACATTACTACAGTTTGCATTGAATTGTGGGTAATATCAACCACACAAGTGATCTAAGAATGCAGTCCAAACATGTTATTTTTACCCCCTCAGCCCTTGCGCTAGCCACTTTCCCTTGGGGGAATCCCTGTTGAAACCGGCTGCAGTTTGATTGCCATTTTAAGTGGAGGTCCAATTCACATATGTTGCCCCCTCGGCCCTCGATTTAGCTTGAGGGAGCGAATGAAGAACTTGGGTCACTTGTGTGGTTGATATGACCCACAATTCAATGCAAACTGTAGTCACATGTCAAACTCTGGTGGCCGCGAAGTGTCAAATTTAATCAACAGGGCTACATTTTTGGTATGTCCGAAAAAATTATGAAGCTGGCTTGCTAAAAATATATATATAGACGACACTGATTTTAGCGTTGGCAAATTGGCTTAGTCTCGTAGTAAGGAGCTTATAAAATGTAGCTAGATTGATAAACATATTTTTTGGAATTCTGAAATGTATTGGAATAAAATACCAAACTATAAAACTAGCTAGCCAGCTATGGGTAACTGTAGCTAGCTACCTGACAGGAGTGCTAGCTATCTACGTTACCTTACTAGGTACATTAATAGCTTTAGGTTGGTTGTTTTTAAGCTCAACCCAGAACGTTGTCTCCGATCATCACTCTCCCTCTCTTGGGCAAGGGACATTTAAGGTACACTCGGATGTGACGATGTAAAACGTCATTCAAGGGCTGAGGGTTTAGGGCCGAGGTCTGTCTACTTTGAGTTTGAAACGCAGCCAAAGTTCTTCACTCGCTCCCTCGAGCTAAATCGAGGGGACAACGTTTGTGAATTGGACCTCCACTTAAGATGGTAATCAAACTGCATCCGGTATCGATGGGGATTCCCCTGAGGGAAAGTAGCTAGCGCGAGGGCTGAGGGGGTAGAAAATAATGTGTCTGGACTGCAGCCCTTGTTTTCTCAAAATGTGTTAGCTAGCTAAGTTAGCAATGTTATGAATACCTCTCCCATCTGCTGTAGACATCAGGATGCGATTTGAGAGCACTAGTTAGCTCCAAAAGTGGTTATAGCTTTGACTGCCTGCTGACAGTGAATTCAGAGCCATTCAGTGTAAGATCTTAATTTGAGCCAGTTTGCTACAGCAGGAAAATAATCCTGTTGCAACAGGAAATGTGAATTATTATGTGAATTATAATTAATGGACATTTTTGTTGGGGTTGATTCATTTTTTGTTAGGGCAAATCAAGTCTGACATTTTAAAGTGGAAATTACAAACTTTAAAAGCCTTTTTAAACCTTGAATACACTACAAGTTTGCATTTGCTGCTGTACAGTAAAATGATCAGCAATAAAAGAGTGATCAAATTAAGATCCAACACCGGTTGCTATATTCCAAACAAAATTTGACCAGGTTCCTGTAAAGCATTTGTAATGACAGTCCACCACAACATACCCAAGAGTTTCCTAATTAGCAAGGGGTAGTCTGTGTTTAATTCCATTGTGTATTAGAAACACAGTGTGAGATCGTTGTAAGGGAATTTTGCCAATGGTTGAATGGGGAATTGGGCTTCCCGGGAAAAGGTTGTCTGAGGTTGCAACAGTAACCAAGGAGGGCGGGGCTTAGCGAATGGTCAATTAAGCCCCTAGACTAGTTAGTGGGCTGACTTGTTAGATTGTGTGGTGTCTGGTTTGCTTTGAAAAGTATGATGATTAATAGTATGCATTTTATTTTCATTTAAGTACACTAGTCATTCATATACAATACAAAATATTGTTTTATCAATAAAACATAATTTAAGTCATCACTTATAGTTAGAAAAACATATTCTCCATGAAAACGAGCTTTTTGAGAAATGTTTCACATTAAAGAGCAAAGCAGAAGTCATTCAGATACTAAAATAATTCCAACACAAAAGACTGAATGATTAGAAACGATCAGTCAACGAAATGTACGGACCTATTACAGAAATGCTCATGTTCGACGTTCCACTTCTCCCACAGTTAAAACTTGCAAAAAGGTCAAATTTTTCAGCATCACAAACACAGAGAGGCTAAAGCCATATGTCCTTGCTCTCAGCTCTTAGTTCTTGGCGGTGTCTAGCGGGCACTCATGCATCTGTCCGTCGTCCACGGCACCCTCAGGCAGGTGCACAGTCATGGTGCAGGCCCGGATCCCGCCCAGGGGTTCCAGCACGTTGAACACCCGGTCCCACTCGTCCTTCTCTGGGTCGTAGCGCTGCACAATGTCCACCATGCAACGGGTGTTCCAGGAATAGCCCCCTACTACGTAGATCTGGCCCTGGAACACGGCCACCCCCACGTCACTCTGGCCCCATGGCATGGCTGCCACCACCGTCCACTGGTCCACCTGGGGGAAGATATAAAACACAGGTATTTTGTTTTGGGACAACAACATGATAAGGTCTGAGCTCTGATTGGCTAGCTGCCTCACAGAATTCTGCTTTTCTCCTAATTTAATTGGTTCCTTGTTTGGTTGCCATTTTTGCCCAACCCAGAAAGTTCCTAAAACTTCCAGACATGTGACCATCAAAGTCAAGACTTAGTTAAGTAACAGTTAGGATAAGGGTAAGGTATCGGCAAAGTGGTCAAATTGCTTATCATATTGTTGGACAAAAACTAAGGCCTGTGCCATGCCTTACCTCGGGGCTGTAGAACTCACAGTCCAGTACGTCATCGTAGTCGCTGCTGCCCCGGAAGTGGTTCCCTCCCATCACGTAGAGCCGGTCGCCCACCGTGCACATGCAGTGGAGGCCACGCAGTTCCATCATGTCGGCACGATGACTCCATGTGTCAGTCTCAGGGTTATAACACGACAGCTCCTTCTGGAATGTGTCCCGTGTGATGCCACCTGTTGAATCAGTGGGTTCACATTGGTTTTATTAGATAGATACCATGAAAACATGTTTACTAAAATACAGTTTTATGTCTACAAACTAATATACTATGGCTTTAATAAGACAAACATTTAAATCCATCCATGCGATTTTCATCTGACTTGGAATACACCATAGTCAGATAAAGTTCAAGGGGAGGGCAGTGTAACTTTGGAAGCATATGTAAAGGATGGACATTGAGAACAAAAGAGTGATGGTGTAGGGGGCTGAACGGTGAGGCAGTGGTCAGGTGCTCTTCTACCCACATCGTCAACCACCAGCGTAGAGTGGGACAGGAGCAGTAGGGCCCTACTTTGAAAAACAGACATGTTTGAGTCAGGAAGGATGTGGTCTGATGCTGTGAGCTGCAGAGAGCTGTGCCCATTACTCCATTACACCATCCTCTACATGTCCCCATGCCTCCGATGACATTTTCTGCATAGACTTTTTAACTTCTGTTCTCAACACGAGAAACTGGTTTCTACTCCAAGGTTGCTAGGAGACCATCATAGAAATCGACCAAGATGAGAATGATAACGGTCCAGAACTACTATGTTATGTTAAAGTCTATCAAAACTGTTAAGCGGCGAGAGTGGATTAAAACAGGTCAACAACACAGCCTTTGTTTGCCTGAATTCATTAACTGAAAACCTCTCTGGTCTGACTGAGCTGATTGCATCAGGACAACAATCACAGTCAATTCAAGCCTTCACATTGTAGGTTTTAACTGTTTGGTAAGTTTGTATTCTAACTGTCAGTGGTCTGAGAAACTCACCTGAGACATACATCAGGTCACCATGGACTGTCCCAGCATGCCCGTAGTGGGGGTCGATCATGGGTGACACGAACGTCCACTCGTTCTTTCTGAGGTTGTAGCACTCCACGGTGTCTGAAAGAGTAAAACAAACGTAAATGCACTCGATATGCACCTTAAAGATCACTATTTCTGTGTAACAGATTGCAGTAAAAATATCTCCAGTACACTAGTGCCTCACCGATCTCTCCTGAGGTGTTCCTGCCCCCAACAGCATACAGCTTCCCCTTCAGCGCGCTCAGGTGGAAGAAGGTTCTCTTCTCGTTGAGCGAGGCCACCTGCAGCCACCGGTCGAAGCGTGGGTCATAGCGGTAGACGCTGTCCACCGCCGTCTTGCCCTTTGTGTCGTAGGTGCTCTGGCCGCCCACGATGTAGAGGAAGCCCCCGAGCACAGCCACACCGTGCTGGTAGCGGGGAACCTCCATGGGCCTCAGCGCCCTCCAGTGGCTGCTCTCCTCATCGTACAGCCTCAGCTCCCTGCTCACCACCAGCTGTTGCCGCATCACCCCGCCCAGCGCCAGCAGGTGTGTGGCGTCGGACCGGATGCGCGTGCGATCTGTCTGTAAGCAAGGCTGGAGGAAGGGCATCATCTGGTAGTTGCTGGCCTCTAGCAGGAGGTTTACGCAGGCCGTGTCCGAGCGCATCATGGCCGCCCTGCCGTCGTCGTACCCCTCGTCCTCCTGGGAGATCTCGAGCAGCTCCATGGGGGTCATGAGGGGGAAGCGGACGTGCCGCATCAGGGAATAGACGGCGGTGCAGCGGGTGGGGGGGTCGTGGTCCAGCCAGGAGCGGGCGATGCGGTACAACTCCATCTCAGAGAAGCCCTTGAGGCTGTCGCTGGCCAGGGCGTTGGCCAGGCTGGGCTCAGAAAGCTGCAGGTAGCGGCCAGACTGCAGCAGCGCTGACAGATTCTGACACACAAACTTCCCAATGTGCGCCTGCACTTCCTCCAGGAGCAAGTCCCCAGCGATGCGCTCCACCTCCACACAGTTATCAATGGTGATCTACCACAAACACAGGAAACCAGACAAGACTGGATGAACATGTGACAGGTCGCCTGTCTTTACATTGGCCATGCTTTTCACTTACTCTTCAATCCACCCATCCCGCCCATCCACCTGTTAATTGTTTCAGTACCAGTAAGTAACCTGATCCACTCACCTCAGTGCTGAGCAGCTCGTTGCAGAAGCCAAGGACGGGGAGGACCTGTAAGAAGTTGGCAGCCTCTAGAGTGTCCTGCAAGTTGGCCATGTTCAGACTCAGCCGGGATGTGTAGATGAACTCTATGATGTTCTTCAGACCTGTCTTGCTCACACCATGGAGCTTAATCGCCCTCATCTCCTGCTCTCTCATACCCCCTAGAGAGAGGGAAAGAGGGAAAGGGAGAGATATAGAGGGTGAATGCTGTTACAGTTAATGGTGCAAGAGTGCAAGTATTTTCAAACATAGTTTGAAAATGGTCTGAGTGGACGTGATGAGAGCAAATACAGTAAGAGAGAGCCTTTTCATAGGTTCAGCCCTAAAAATATTACTTACTTACTTACTTAGGCCCATCGCTCCTTTGGGAGCATAGGCCATTGATGACTGCTCTCCATCACACATTGTGAAACAATCACCAGTTAAATATATTGACATATTGAAATATATTAACATATTGCACATAATTGAAAAACCTAATTGAATGTTATTTATCACAGACTAACCAGTGAACATGGCTTTGAAGTAGTCGCAGGCGGAGGCCATAATGACTCTGTGTACTGGGAAGGTGTCACTGCTGTCTCCAGGCACTAGGATGACATCACACATAGTCTCATCACCTCTGAACAACTGAAACCCCTGAAAGGAAGAACAACATTAATCTTCCATGAATGGTCTGGATCCCCTCCAATGTCTAATGGTGAAAGCCACCATACATATTTTTCATTCATAATATATATATATATATATATATTTTTCACTCCAAATACAAAAATTATACATAAGTACAACAACATACAGACACATACAAACAATGACTACATCTTATCTGCCCAAACCCGCATACTCACACCCCCACCCCCATCCCTAGTTATTGTTTGCCACTTGGCCTTAAATTGTACCAATTTGTTTTTCTCAGTCGCCCATGCTACTTCAATAATTCAGTAATAAATCACTAGATTTTTCCATTGTGTTAATGATGCCGGATTGATTTCCAAGTTTTTAGTATATGTTTTTTCAAGATGAGTGATGAGAAGAGAATCGTCCAGCCCATTGGGTATCTCACTACACCCCCATATGCCATGTCTTGAAATATGCAGACAGAGAGATTCAAAGTACGTTTACATTGTAATACTTCTGACAGCCAACTTTCTAGCTCTGCCCACAACTTCTGGACTTTATAACATTCCCAGAAAGCATGGATTATTGAGTCATTATTAGTTTTACACTTATGACATGACTGCTGTTGTGCTGTAGAATTTGTGAATTTTGTTTCTTGTATAATACATTCTACACATTAGTTTATACTGGATTAAGCATACATTTTAGTTAATTGTAATTTCGTTACTTATGCTCCAACTTTCCCTCCATCTTGTGCCAACATCCGTTCTTCTTAAATCTTGGTTCCAATAGATTGTATTTTTTTCTACGAGATTGTAGTTGGATGTGCTCCCTGCAAGGTTTTGTATATCTTCCCTATCATATAAACATCCTTTTCTGATTCAACTAAGATTCCCTCCAGGTTGCTCTGATGTCCAAAAGATTTCAAATCTGATATGTAACTTTTAAGTTCCATGTATTTGAAACTATCTACATTGGTCAGTCCAAAATTACTTTTTAATTCTGTCATGAAAATAAATGTGTTTCCTATTACCAAGTCATTTACGGTTTCAATGCCTTTAGTTTTCCATGTGGACCAATTTATCGGCGAATTCTGAAAAGCTATCCAAGGATTGTTCCATAAGGTTGTGTTTTTAGGGAGTGGCATTGGTTCTTGTAGAATAGGTTTCATTTTCTTCCATATTGTTATAATGTTCTTAACTATGAAGTTGTTAATGTTCTTAGCTTTATCCTTTGAAAATAGATACGTAAAAAGATTCTGGGGATGAACATGCGCATCTTCAATATGTACCACTTGTTCCTCTTTAGTGCATTTTACTATATGTCGCAAGTAGCAAGTTGGGTAGCAAGTTGATACAATTCCAAGTCTGGAAGGTTAAAACCACCCTCAGACTTTATTCTATTCATTTTACTTGCCCATATAAAGTCTGTTATGACTGAGTGTACTTTTTTTAAGAATGTCTTCGGTGGGGTAATTGGTATTACCGAAAATAAAAACAAAGACTTTGGCAGCCATGCCATTCTAAAGAGGTTTATTCTACCTGTAAGATTTCTGGGAAGTTTATTCAATTAAATTAGATCTGCTTTCATATTGTTGAGTAATGGGATAAAGTTATCTTTATGCATGTTGTTTGTTGTCACTTATTAAGCATTCTAAATATAAATAAAAAAAATGTGTGGTCCACTTAAAGAATAGCTGTAGATCTTAAGTTATTATTTTTCCTATGACCATTATTTAGTTTTTTTCCACGTATATTTTAAATCCTGAGATTTCTGAGTAGTCTGAAAATATTTTTAGCAAAGGGGGCATTGAGTTTTCAATATTGGTCAGGTATATCAGGAGATCATATGCAAATAAGTTTAGTTTATATTAATTTATATCTACCAATACTGATACCTGTTACATTTGGGTACTGTCTTTCTGCAAGCGGTTCAAATGCCAGTGCAAACAGGAAGGGGACATTTCATAGTTTTGATGTCTTCACTATTATTCTACAATGTAGAAAATAGTAAAAATAAAGAAAAAACCTTGAATGAGTAGGTGTGTCCAAACATTTGACTGGTACTGTACATTTGAAGAAAGACTGCCACTTAAGTACTGTGGTTGGTTTGTATTACGTTATAAATTCAATATAAGTATAGTGGTTGGTGGGGGTCCACTTGGGGTGAGTGGGTCCTCCGAGAGACTGAAATGGGATGCGTGGAGGCCCTACGCACACCTCAGAGAAGTGTCTGAGCGTGTCCCAGTCACCCCATCCCAATGCTCTGGATATGGCCCCTCCATTCTCACCAATAACCACCATTAAATTAGTTGTAATTACAAACAAGGAATAATAATGATTCGACATCCTTTCCTAATCTGTCCAGAACACATTCATTTTACAATGGGTTACAAGTCATAAAACCCCCAAATACAATGACATTGTAGTATAATTAAGTCCTTTCTTCTCTTTCTCCCAAACCAGATCCATCCCTCTCTACCACCCCCTCCCTGTTCTCCCACCTTTACCCCACCCAAGCCAAACGTATCTCCACCACCCATATTTAATCCCCCTTGCCCCCCCAAGCCAAGCTTGTACCACCCTCCCATCCTTACCCATCCTTGCCCCCTCCCCCCAACCACCTCCCCTCCTTGCCCTCCCTTACCCACCCAGGCTAAGTTTATCCCAACCGCCGTCTTTTCCCCCCTCCCTTCTTCTCAAACACGTTTACACCCCTCTATTTATCTGCTTACTCATCCATTCTCATTCATTCACACACAACATATACCCGATGCCGCCGCACACCCATCCTTCCTACACATATTCATATTCACCCTCCATCACTCTCCCATTCATATTCACAGACACCAGTGGAGGCTGCTGAGGGGAGGACGGCTCATAATAATGTCTGGAATGGAGTATAATGGATGGAATGGAGTGAATGGAATGGAATGGTATCAAACACATGAAAAACATGTTTTGATACATTTCGAGCAAATCTACTTTTTTTTGGGGGGGGGTGAGCATTGAGAGCATTTTAGCTATGTTTTCCTGGATATCCGTCAGCTGTTCGTTGCGCTCATTTGCATCTCCAAGTTGTTCTTTGTCTTTTCCTCTAAGGGAAGCCATGGCTTGTTGGGTTTGAGTCTCAGCGTCACTTTACTCACAGATTGGTTCGCTGTTGTGTATTACTAACCGCTCACTTTCTCCCGTTTGCTTGGGATATATTGATCTATCATTTTAAAGGCTTAATTTAAACTATGTTGTCTGGCTTCTACATATAATCACAGTTTTTACGGTACAAAACGGAATGACTATCTCCCAATGTGTCCTATTGATATGTGCATGTGTTGGCCACCATTCAGATAGATAACGAAAATAATCGTCCTAGGATCCTAATACAGTGGCTTGCGAAAGTATTCACCCCCTTGGCATTTTTCCTATTTTGTTGCCTTACAACCTGGAATTAAAATAGATTTCTGGGGGGGTTTGTATCATTTGATTTACACAACATGCCTACCACTTTGAAGATGCAAAATACTTTTTTTGAGAAACAAACAAGAAATAAGACAAAAAAACTGAAAACTTGAGCGTGCATGACTATTTACAATACTTTGTAGATCCACCTTTTGCAGCAATTACAGTTGCAAGTCTCTTGGGGTATGTCTCTATAAGCTTGGCACATCCAGCCACTGGGATTTTGCCCATTCTTCAAGGCAAAACTGCTCCAGCTCCTTCAAGTTGGATGGGTTCCGCTGATGTACAGCAATCTTTAAGTCAAACCACAGATTCTCAATTGGATTGAGGTCTGGGCTTTGACAAGGTCATTCCAATACATTTAAATGCTGGAAGGTGAACCTCCGTCCCAGTCTCAAATCTCTGGAAGACTGAAACAGGTTTCCCTCAAGAATTTCCCTGTATTTAGCGCCATCCATCATTCCTTCAATTCTGACCAGTTTCCCAGTCACTGCCGATGAAAAACATCCCCACAGCATGATGCTGCCACCACCATGCTTCACTGTGGGGATGGTGTTCTCGGGGTGATGAGAGGTGTTGGGTTTGCGCCAGACATAGCGTTTTCCTTGATGGCCAAAAAGCTCAATTTTAGTCTCATCTGACCAGAGTACCTTCTTCCATATGTTTGGGGAGTCTCCCACATGCCTTTTGGCGAACACCAAAGGTGTTTGCTTATTTTTTTCTTTAAGCAATGGCTTTTTTCTGGCCACTCTTCCGTAAAGCCCAGCTCTGTGGAGTGTACGGCTTAAAGTGGTCCTATGGACAGATACTCCAATCTCCGCTGTGGAGCTTTGCAGCTCCTTCAGGGTTATCTTTGGTCTCTTTGTTGCCTCTCTGATTAATGCCCTCCTTGCCTGGTCCGTGAGTTTTGGTGGGCAGCCCTCTCTTGGCAGGTTTGTTGTGGTGCCATATTCTTTCCATTTTTTTATAATAGATTTAATAGCGTTCCGTGGGATGTTCAAAGTTTCAGATATTTTTTTATAACCCAACCCTGATCTGTACTTCTCGACAACTTTGTCCCTGACCTGTTTGGAGAGCTCCTTGGTCTTCATGGTGCCACTTGCTTGGTGGTGCCCCTTGCTTAGTGGTGTTGCAGACTCTGGGGCCTTTCAGAACAGGTGTATATATACTGAGATCATGTGACACTTAGATTGCACACAGGTGGACTTTATTTAACTAATTATGTGACTTCTGAAGGTAATTGGTTGCACCAGATCTTATTTAGGGGCTTCATAGCAAAGGGGGTGAATACATATGCACGCACCACTTTTCAGTTATTTATGTTTTTGAATTTTTTGAAACAAGTTATTTTTTTCATTTCACTTCACCAATTTGGAATATTTTGTGTATGTCCATTACATGAAATCCAAATAAAAGTCTATTTAAATTACAGGTTGTAAAGCAACAAAATAGGAAAAACGCCAAGGGGGATGAATGCTTTTGCAAGGCACTGTACATCTTGACAACATTCACAGCTAAGTAATAACCCCGATAACCTTTAAATAACTCTGTCTGGTGTATGAGGGGTGAGGCTGGGTTGTACCTGTAGGACTGCAGTGCCGTGCTCATTGCTGCTGAACACCCTGGTTAGAGGCCTTGGAGGGAGGCTTGGCTTCAGGTTGATATCAGGGGGTTTCGGGGGAAGCTCCAATGGTTTAGGTGCTGGGGCTGGAGGGGTTGGAGGGTTCGGTGCTGGGGGAGTGGGAGTGGGTCTGTCAACTGGGGCCGGAGCTGGGGCTGGGGCCGGAGATGGTGCTGGGGGTTGGACAGGTTGGGGTGGAGGTCTGGGGGCCTCTCTAAGAGAGCCTCTGCTCCCCAGACGAGATAGTCTCCTGTGAAGCTTCCCCTGCCCTCTCTCCTTCTCCTCACCACTGCCCCTGGAACACAAAACAACTGGGGTCCTTGTGCTGCTGTAACATCTTCAGCTACTGTATTAGTTTAGTCCACTGCTGGCAGTTCACATTGCAGATTACAGAAGCAAGTACATTCTAATATTGATCGTTATGGAATGTACAGTATTTAGTCACTATAATCTACAATTAAATTACCTAAAGATGACCCATAAAATTGGATTAGCCTACCCCATATCAGTTGATGTGTTGCTGGATTTCCTGTTGCACAATAATTTGCTGTTTTCTTTTTCAGAGCCTCTTCACTCTGAACAAGCTACAAAATGGGAAATGAAACTGTTGAGTATGTCTTTGTTTTATGTGTAATTTGTTTGGTAGGCAGTATGACTCCCTTAATCAAAATAATAAAATAAATAATAATATGCCATTTAGCAGACGCTTTTATCCAAAGCGACTTACAGTCATGCGTGCATACATTTTTGTGTATGGGTGGTCCCGGGGATCGAACCCACTACCTTGGCGTTTCAAGCGCCGTGCTCTACCAGCTGAGCTACAGAGGACCACGGCCCAGGGCACATATGCAGATGTGGGGCTTTCCTGATAACATTGTTACTATACTATGTGTATTCGCTGTAAATGTTAATACATTGAACTCCTGTAACTTCATTCATTAACTTCTCTATTTTAATATTGTTGTCCTCAACTTGATTATGTTGCAGTATCTCATATTTCTTAATTTCTTAATTTAATTTTGTATTGTTAAGTATACTGCACTGTTGGAGCTAGAAACATAAGCATTTTTCTGCACCTGTGATAACATTTGCAAAAGATGTGTACGAGACCAATAAAATGTTATTTGATTTATCGTGCTGTGGTGTTGTTTCAATACTTCCACATTGGTTGATGTTTCATGTGGATAACAGTAGTGTTTATTAGATTTAACTCAGTAGCCTCTGAACTCTGAACTTTCGCCTCACTACGTATTCATTATTTGTATTTATATTCTTTATTTTGGGTCATGGCAGTTAGTTTCTGTGCAAGACTTTGTACTCTTTATCAAGTGTACAAACTTTACACCTGCATTAACAGAAATGATAGGAAAGGAAGGAACCTACCTTGAAGCTATTCTTTCAACAGGCTCTCCTTAACCAAAAGGCCTTCTTCTGACATATAACCAACGTACAGCAATCTATTAAATGCTTTACAGATCACTAAATGTCTCCCTGCAGCAGCTGGATGCAGAGTGAAACCGTTATGTAGAGTGGGGTAAGCAGCAACACAGTCATTCTCTCACAGCTAACCAATACCTTAGCCACTTCCTGTGTCAGTTCTCTTTCTCTCTCTTTTTGTCCTAGCCTTCCCCACTCTTATTTTTACACATTAGTTGTTGTAAAGACAGATGCATACAATGACTTCCCACTGGGCACATACGTCAATTCAATGTCTATTCCACGTTGGTCCAACGTAATTTCATTGAAATGACATGGAAACAACTTTGATTCAACCAGTGTGTGCCTAGTGGGTTGTTGCTCATCCTTTCAGTCCCTAGAGACACCTATACTTCTCCAGTGTCAAATGTGGCACTACAGTTTCTTACAATAATTTTTTTGAATCCCATTATTATCTCATGTTTTAAAGATGTCATATCTAAAGAAATGTGAATTAAATTGTAAGAGGAAACAAATAACAAACACCATCAAATATTGTAGCATCAAACAAAACTAAATGAAAGACAGGAGGCAGAAAGTATTTTAAAATATATTTTATTCTCAAAGTGGTTTTACAGTAGTTCTCATCTCATTGTGTCTCCAGGGTTCTGAATCAAATCACGCTGTTGTTCTCAGAGGATTAGGAACTGGAATGCCAAACAGCCCCGTTACATCACTCTTTCAACCAACCAACCACACTCCTCTCGCTGCTGTATTCACAACCTTATTCCACCTCACCAGCCAGAACAGTTATTACAATCAAACCAGAAGGGATCAATCATTTCACCCTCTAAATTGTTTTGACTGATGGATCCCTGATCTAAAAGCAAATTCACCTTCACAATTCACTTACAGTGCCTTCAGAAAGTATTCACACCCCTTGACATTTTCCACATTTTGTTGCGTTACAGCCGGAATTTAAAATGGATTAATTTCAGATGTTTTTGTAATTGGCCTACACACAATACCCCATAATATCAAAGTGGAATCATATTTTTAGATTTTTTTAAACAAATTAAGCATGGTGAAGTTATTAATTACACTTTGGATGTTCTTTCAATACACTCAGTCACGACAAAGATACAGGCGTCCTTCCGAGGAAGGATACTGCTCAGGGATTTCACCATGAGGCCAATGGTGGCTTTAAAACAGTTTAATGGCTGTGATGGGAGAAAACTGAGGATGGATCAACAACACTGTAGTTACTCCACAATTGACAGAGTGAAAAGAAGGAAGGCTGTACAGAATAAAATATTCTAAAACATGCATCCTGTTTGCAACAAGGTACTGAAGTAATACTGCAAAACGTGGCAAAGCAATTAACTTTTTGTCATGAATACTATGTGTTATGTTTGGGGAAAATCCAATACAACACATTGAGTACCACTCTCCATATTTTCAAGCACAGTGGTGGCAGCATCATGTTATGGGTATGCTTCTAATCATTAAGGACTTGGGAGTTTTTCAGGATAAAACATTCACGGAATGAAGCTAAGCAAAGGCAAAATCCTAGAGGAAAACCTGGTTCAGTCTGCTTTCCACCACACTGGAATATTAATTCATCTTTCAGCAGGACAATAACCTAAAACACAAGGCCAAATCTACACTGGAGTTGCTTAACAAGAAGACAGTGAATGTTCCTGAGTGGCCAAGTTACAGTTCTGACTTAAATCTGCATGAAAATCTATGGCAAGACTTGAAAATGGTTGTCTAGCAACAACCAATTTGACAGAGCTTGAGGAATTTTGAAAATAATAATGGGTAAATAATGGGTGTGCAAAACTCTTACAGAATTACCCAGAAAGACTCACAGCTGTAATCGCTGCCAAAGGTGATTCAGGGGTGTGAATACTTACTGTATGTAAATTAGATATTTCTTTGTTTCATCTTCAATACATTTGCAGAAAAAAATCGAAAAACATGTTTTCACTTTGTCTTTATTGTGTAGATGGGTGGGATAAAAAATATATAACACAACAAAATGTGGAATAAGTCAAGGGGTATGAATATTTTCCGAAGGCACTGTTCTTTAGTCACCATATTCTCTGCCAACCCTGTTCATCAGAGACACAATATCAGGCCTCTCTCATTCATAGATGGGTTGACAGGGGGCCGGCAGCCATTGAGAGTTAGGAACAGCTGAGTGAAAAACATATTTTGTTGGTTATATCATATTGAAGCTGCTTATTTAAATATGTCTGGTTATTTTTCCACAAGAACTAAGGCAGCCACGTTGGATGAAACTATTCAAATCTAGGATTTATTAGATTGATGTCAGATTCAGTTTCAGTTCATTATGATTCATATGAGAGGTTTCATTTTGTTGTCCCAAATTCTGGTTTAATTGGAAGTTCTACTGATTGAATGGATAGTGCTGTATTGCTGCCGTCTTTATTCGTCAGGCTGATTCTGGCGACCCCTGCTGTTAAGTCACAGTTTGGAGAACTGGATGAGGTTCCTGTTGATCTCAGCCACGTTCCTGCACCCTAAGGGAGGAAAGATAAACAAAACATTGGTGTTGCATTGTTATGAGGTTGAGGTAATAATAGCTAAGCAAGGGGTTTTAATCTCAGACTGGAAAAAATATGATTATGTAAGAAGTTTGGTTCCTCACTCACCAGACAGAGCCATTGACAGACGGAACTCATCGTTGAGGATATGTAGTACCTCCCTCAACCCCTCTTCACCCTGAGGGAACAAACATAAGCAGCAAGACAGTTTGTTATTCTCAGTATCTCAAGTTAGTAGGTTGATCACACACAACGTTAATAGTTACCTTATAGGCGAGGCCCCACACAGCCGGCCTGCCGATGAACACACACTTGGCTCCCAGAGCTACAGCCTTCAGCACGTCACTACCGGTGCGGATGCCCCCGTCCAGATATACCTCGATCCGCCCCTGCACTGTGTCCACAATCTCAGACAGGGCATCTATCTATGTGGTAGAGAAGAGAGCAGAGGAAACTTCCTATGGAATATTAACAGTATAATTTAAAACAACTGATATTCCCATTCAAATCAACGCTGTCTGATGTGTGGACCTCCAACCGTCTTTGTGGTACCATTTGAAAGTGGACATTTATATTGTATTCCCTTTTAGTACATTTATCAGCCAAAACATGACACCCACCCTGTATTCAAGAGCATGCTGTGTCTAAACCGATGGCTGGCACAACACAAACACTTCAGATTATGTAAAATAGGGTCTAAGTTTGGACACATGCGAAAATAAAAGAAATGGGAGTTTAGAAATGTTTTGATAATTGACATTACATTAAAAAAATATCTAAAATAGTTTGACAACCCTGTTTCTAAGCTTTTAAATGATATCAAACTCAACTGTTTATCTTTTCCAGTGATGAGGACATGGATGTCTCATGGTATGGTGTGTTTTGCAAAATGGGTCAACTTTGACCACTTCTATCTCTTGAATGTGTTGGCATTCAGGTCCAAAATTTCACTTTCTGACCACTTCTAACATGGGCAAATATGTATGAAAAGGTGTGCGGTCAAAAAGTGATTGAAATCAAATGGAACATTTTACATTTACATTTTAGCAGATGCTCTTATCCAGAGCGACTTACAGTTAGTGAGTGCATAAATGTTTTCATACTGGTCCCCCGTGGGAATTGAACCCACAACCCTGGCGTTGCAAGCGCCATGCTCTACCAACTGAGCTACACGGGACTACAACCCGGTTCTTTAATATCAACATTTCATAAACAAAATGGCTTGCTGACTGTAGGGTCAAATAGAGTTGAAATGAGGATGAAGTTATATACTCTGTGCCCCTTCTTACTGTGGCGGGCCCTCCGTCCAGCTGGCGTCCTCCATGGTTGGACACGATGATGCCCTGGACGCCGTGCTCCACAGCCAGCTCAGCGTCCTCCTTCGTCAGGATGCCTTTGATGATGATGGGCAGGCGGGTGAGAGACTGAAGCCAGTACACGTCCTTCCAGCTGATGGAGGGGTCCAGGGTGTTGGCAGGGACCCCATACTCCTCACCCGCAGGACCCGCAGCCTCCTACAGAAGGAGTCAGAGGGACACCCACCCAGACACGACAGACGCATACAATAGAGAACACAGTAAAGCACAGAACACAGTACAGTACATAACAGAACACATACACACAGAAGGAGGCCTCATGGGAAATGCATTAGTTGGATTATACTTAAATAATTCTAGAGCAGCTACTGTCTCTCTATTATGGCACTATGGGCCGGTTTCCCAGACACAGATTAAGATTCTCCATTGAAAGTGTTTCTTAGTCCAAGACTAGACGTAATCTTTGTCCAGGAAACCGTCCCTATATGATTTTATGGCAAAATCATTACTGTTAAAAATATTTACCTGGAAGACCCCGTCAAAGTTCTTGACCTTGAGGTGCGGCGGGAGCTTGAACTGGTTCCGTATATCGTTGCGGCGCTTCCCGGTGTAGGGCACGTCGACGGTGAGGACCAAGGCCTTGTAGCCCAGGGCCTCCACACGGTGAATGATGGATTCAGACAGCTTTCTGTCCCGGTACACATAGAGCTGGAACCAGCGGTAGCCGTTAGGCGCTGCAGCCGCGATCTCCTCCACAGAGCAGGTGGAGTAGGTACTGGTGATGTAACAGGTGTTCACTGCCTCCGTAGCTGAGGAAAGAGAAAGAGAGTTTAAAGTTTAAAGTTTTATTAGTCATATGTACAGGATACACATGGTATACACCGTCCAATGAAATGCTTACTTGCAGGTTCCTTCTGGAAAATGCAACAACAATAAGAAATAATACAAGATAAGAATACAAAACATAAAGTAAATGGCTCAGTAGATTTGTTTTTTTTACATAAGTACAATACAGGAAGGCACAATTGGGGGGCAAGTGTTTAAATTGTGCAGTATTAGCAATAGTAAACAAGAGCAATAGTAAACAAGAGAAAGAGATTTTGAGTGAACCACCCCTAGGATACTCAGTGACAACAAAGCTATTGGCCTACAGAGCTCAACCTCTACAGCTGTTAAACCCCTCCTAGTCCTCACCCCTGGCGGTGGCCATCTCTCCCTCATGCCAGGCCAGGCAGTGGAAGGCAGTGGGGGCGATGCCCACAGGGAAGCTGATCTCTGTGCCCTGCACCGTGGTCCTGGTGTCACTCATCGACACGTCCCGTAGAATCCGTGGTCGCAGACGGATCCTGGGACCGAGACAAAGTGATTATTTTGGATCTTCCAAGCACTACAGTTTGAGGTGTCGTGTTATTGAGTGATGTTAGTGACTGACATTGAATTGTGGCTACTGTAGTTTAAAGGATGGGGAGAGGTACCTACCGTTTGTAGGCCAGCAGATTATCATCCCTTGTGCAGCACTCGTCTGCTCCGGCTGCGTAGTAGTCCCAGGTGGCCTTGGAGAGGTGCTCCTTGGCATACTCCTCAAAGTCTGTGAGACATACCATAGCCATCTCAGCACAGCAGGTTCCCTCTCTGTAGGATATATAATTTTACATTTTAGTCATTTAGCAGACGCTCTTATCCAGAGCGACTTACAGGAGCAATCACTGTCAGGGACAGCAGGTGTAAAGAAATGCTATCAATATGTCAATTACACTATCAGGAACCCTGTATTAAAAGTAGAATGGAGAAATAGTTATGGCATTGGTGGAGATTTAACACAGTAAAAACACTGTTCTTTGTTGTGAGCTGAATGAGTTTGTAAATTGTGCAGTTTAAACGCATACAATAACTGCAAACAGCTTCTGGTGCATATTTCACACGAATACACAAATACATTCAGTGGCGTCACCAGAACCTGGGGGCTAATGCTGCGTTCGTAACCAAGAAGGAAGTGGAAATTTAACACATACGACTGGAAAAAATCCACTTGAATGGCCCTCCAAGTACATTTAGCACACTCTCTTATCCAGAGCGACTTACTGGAGCAATTAGGGTTAAGTGCCTTGCTCAAGGGCACATCGACAGATTTTTCACCTAGTCGGCTCGGGGATTAGAACCAGCGACCTTTCGGTTACTGGCACAACGCTCTTAACCACTAAGATACCTGCCGCCCCGTAGACAACTATCATCCTGAGCTCCCACATGCTAACTTCTGATGTCACCTACTAAGGAAATTACCTCGATAACAGCATTTTTAAATGCAACAACAAAACAAACTGCATTGGAAATACAGCTGGGCTTGGATCTGTGTGCACAGGGATGACCTCAAATTACCCAAAGATAACTAAGGACAAAATGCTAAACTAGCCTACTTGTCAACACCAGTTTTTTTTTCATTTGTAAAAATGCCTACTGGACTAGCACAATACTAAACAATTACCACGGCAGAGCAAGAAATCTACACAATAAACCATTTACAATTTGTTATCCAGAAAACATAACAGTGCAGTCACATTCATTATTTTTCCTTTTCAAACAAATTTGAAATTTTTTTTTTAAAACGTATGCACTCACTAACTGTAAATCGCTCTGGATAAGAGCTTCTGCTAAATGACTAAAATGTAAAAAATAAAATTACAGTAGCCTATGAATCTCATTTCCTTCAGTTGAGTAGCGTAACTAGTTTGCCACGTTAACAGGCTATTTATTCACCTAGTCGTTGTCATTTCACGAAATGTCAATCTGTGTCGGGAAAAAAAAAAAAAAAACGTATTTCGATGGAAACTTAAGTCAATAGAGGCGCACACGTGAGTGAAACAGCAAAAAATGCAACACACACGGCGCCGACTGAACACAGACAGACAGAGGGCGGGGTGTAAAACTCGCAAAAATAAACAATTTATCTATGCAACAAATTTATTAGGGGAAGATACAGGCCTACCTTCTCACACATAGGCTATGGTGAATGATAACACAAATAGCAACCCTAGCAAGCCTTAAAAACCAGGCAACTGCTTATTCTGAAAAGAGCTCTGTAAAAGTGTCAACAAATGGTTAACAGTGCATCTCTCATCTTGGCGGTGTTGTACTATGAACTCCATTAAATATTAACAATTTTCAATAGACTGAGGCCATCTTAGTCATTTGAAAACACCAATGCACCCAAACAAAATTTGATAAACCTTAGAATGAACCTCATAACATCGTAACAGATTGTAATTTTAGTCGATCTCAGCAACATTTCATAAATCCCACTTGCTTCAAAATACATTTTGGTATTGAGTTTGAAGGATCTACTAATATCATTCTGTACTCTAGTCCTTATGACACCAACTCCATTCTGAAATGTCTGGTGTCTGACGATGCAGCTCATAGTTAGTTCTCTTCCTATTGTGTGTTTGTATGCTTTTGTGTGAGTTCAATAAAACTATCACAGAGATTAACACTGACAGTGAGTGTGACCCCGCTGTGACCTTTGGGGTTATTGTGTTTACAGAGGCTGGAAATGTGCTGATGCCACAGTGAGCCATAGAGAGGGGAGGGGGGTCGCACATTACATACTACAGCACAGATGGGGACATACATACTAGGCCTACATATAAAACACACAGAATGTGGTAAACAGCAGCATGGTCAGTAACACAAAGCACTACAGTAACAGTACTGTAACAGTAGGGTGGTCAATTACTTTTATAGACCTACTGTACGGGCTCCAGAGTGCCGCAGCGGTCTAAGGCACTGCATCTCAGTGCTTGAGGCGTCACTACAGACTCCCTGGTTCGATTCCAGGCTGTATCACAACCGGCCGTGATTGGGCGGCGCACAATTGGCCCAGTGTCGTCCGGGTTTGGCCGGTGTAGGATGTCATTGTAAATAAGAATTTGTTCTTAACTCACTTGCCTAGTTAAATAAAGGTACATTTAAAAAACTTGCAGCGCTACTGTGGCCTACATACCAAATGATCACAGGGTTGTCAGTGACACCTCAGATATAAAACTGCAATAGGTTTATCTTTGAGTTTGCCTGACTGAGATTATATTATCCTACAGTTTTATCTGAGTATACTGTATGTGACTGTATCTGACCCGCTGACCAGAGCAGCCATCCATGGAGAACCACTCACCGATTACAGCTGGTGCTCATAGTCTCTGAATGGACTTCAACACTCCTGGCAGCGTCATAACCTGGAAGAAAATCAAGATAAAAATGATCCCCCCGATTCAATAGCTCCAAAATAAAGTCAACCTCAAATATAACAATGCCAAAAAATGCTAATCATAAAAACTCATGTTTGTTTGTTGTGCAGAGTGTGTATCTTTTGGCCTGTCCGTCTCCCATGCTATGGTTGATAACAATGTGATCTATGAACACTTGAGGGCAGTGTAATACTGAATAAAGGTATTGTACACAGAGCTGTTCAATCTCAACCTGTATTATATCCCAGGCCATCACACATTCAGTGAGAGAACATGACATGTACAGTACGAACTGCCATTCAAATGAAAATGGCCATTGAGATAATACTGTATCTCAGATGCATAGGGGCCTACTGTAAAATGCATTGTGTTGAATTGTGAGGCCTTCATTAAAAACCTTTAGATTAGTTGTTCAAACAATGATCATACTGTTTCTGATTAATTCTGTCTTCTTTAGAATGTGCAAGATAGACTTGCAGGTAATGTTCAGATCCGACCAGGCCTATGTTAACGTTTCTCCACAAATAACAGTCGAAGTAAGTAATTTTAGCCTTTGTCCTATAGATGAATGTTAAGCTACCTACCTCTCTACACTTGTCAATATCGGTCATTTAGGCGCTCTCAACATTGTTATGATACATTTCAAGAAGAGCAGCTGTGTGTATTATAAGTAAATAAACTCAATGGAAAAGTGCAAATAACATAAAATAAAATTACATTTTGACTATTTATTTCAAGATTTGGTTTACTGAAGATCACACCATGTAAATGATTATGATTTCAGATGTTTTGATATTAATCAAAGAAAGCGCAGCTACATATCAGTTTCCAAAAATAAATAGGCAGTAATGGTGTTATTGAGCAACGTACATCGGAATTTTGTCTACAGTCTCTCTCGCTCTCTCCCTCTCCCTCTCTCTCCCTAGCTCTGCTATGTTATTGTAGGCCTAGCTGATGTAAAAAGGCCCTGGGGGCAACCACACAGGAGGAAAAGATGTGAGGTGTCTTACCTTGTCCTTTACCCTGACCTGGTTTGCTCTCGTAGCCTGTCACCTCTCATGTGACACCTGTGCAGGGCAGGACAGTGTCAGGGGCAGGGCAACTCTAGCTCCACACCCTCCCATTGGGAGAATCCCTTTGATACCATCCCCCACCACCCACTCACACACACTGGCTCAACACTAACCTCCCCTGTCAGCAGTATGTGGCCCCTGTTCTCTCTCTGTACATGCCTGATAAAGAGGGGGCAGATAGGATAGCATAGCAACCCTTCTCATCAATTGTATGTATGGGTGGTTGGGTGGCTGTGAGTTAGATAGCCTAGCATTTAAGAGCATTGGGCCAGTAACAGAAAGGTTGCTGGTTCAAATCCCCGAACTGACCAGGGGAAAAATCTGTCCATGTGCCCTTGAGCAAGGCACTTAACCCTAATTGCTCCTGTAAGTTGCTCTGGATAAGAGCGTCTGCTAAATAATGTAAAAATGTAAGAGTGAGTAAGGCGACAGTCATATTGCTCACTGAACAGTGTGTGTGCATGTGAATGATTACCGCTTTTTAGATTAATTATAGTCTTCATCTTGTCATATCTACAATACCCCATTGACTCTAAATCTTTACTGTCAAAGTCCTCTGAAAATGTCCAACTTGTTCTCCAAAGGACTTTGTACACCCACACATAAATATTTTCACTACATAGAAAGGATGAAGTAGAGAGAGAGAGAGAGAGAGAGAGAGAGAGAGAGAGAGAGAGAGAGAGAGAGAGAGAAACAAATATTGATTGACAGAGCGCAAGAGAGAGAGTGAGAGAGAGAGAGATAGAGAGTGAATTCAATAAATGTCACAGCGTCTGAACTTGCCACGAACGTAACAAAACGCCATGAAACGTTGTTCAAGCATTCTAAAACAGCAGTGGGTGCAGTGGTGCTAAATTAGATTTTGTCTCTCTATTTCATTACTACTTTGGAATTTGATTTATTCCTAGTCAATTTAATTGCTGCAGTAACAGAGCCAGGCCTCTTAAAACAGCTCTTTGTAGTGTTTTATTTTGTTTAAACTCAAAGACTGTGAAGGTGCAGGCCAGGGGCTGGGGTTGAGAATGGGGCTGAGGCTGGGACTGAGGCTGGGGTTGAAGCTGAGTCTGGAGGCCCGTCTAAGGGCCATGGGGAGGTGGCTCTGTTACCTACTCTAAGTGAAGTGTAAATTGTGTTAATCCACAGCTGGCTCTGATGCCTATCACTGCGTCTATCTTGCTCCCACTCCTCAGACGTGTTAGGAGTGGACGGGAGAAAACCTCTACCACATGTTGCTTCTCCCTCAGGCTATGGCTCAGCTAGCCCACGACATGTGTGTTGGATTGTTAGGGCGTTATCCTGCCCTGGCTAGCATCCTCTACTCTTTCTATACCTAAGTTGCTCTCTTTTTCTCATTCTGAGAACAAATAAATTACATAGGTCTGTAGTCTCAGGTGTTTGGGTCTCACTGTTATGTTCCACCTTGCATTGAGGCCATAACGCTGGCTGCTGATCCCAGTTCTTAGAACAGAGAGGAGCAACCCATATGTGACCAGGGGTCAAACGCGTGGCAGAATTGCCACCCAACAGATTGTGAACTGTACTTGTCGCTTACTACACTGAACAAAAATATAAACGCAACAAGTAAAGTGTTGGTCCCATGTTTCATGAGCTGAAATAAAAGATCCCAGAAATGTTCCTTACGCACAAAAAAGCTTATTTCTCTCAAATGTTGTACACATGTTTGTTTACATCCCATGTTTGTTTACAAAGGAGCATTTCTCCTTTGCCAAAATAATCCATCCACCTGAAAGGTGTGGCATATCAAGAAGCTGATTAAACAGCATGATCATTACAAAGGTGCACCTTTACACAGGTGCTGGGGACAATAAAAGGCCACTCTAAAATTTACATTTACATATTTACATTTTAGTCATTTAGCAGACGCTCTTATCCAGAGCGACTTACAGTTAGTGAATACATATTTTTTTTTTATACTGGCCCCCCGTGGGAATCGAACCCACAACCCTGGCGTTGCAAACGCCATGCTCTATCAACTGAGCTACATCCCTGCCGGCCATTCCCTCCCCTACCGTGGACGACGCTGGGCCAATTGTGCGCCGCCCATGAGTCTCCCGGTCGCGGCCGGCTGCGACAGAGCCTGGATGTACACACAACACAATGCCACAGACGTCTCAAGTTTTAAGGGAGCGGGCAATTTGTATTTGTACTTGTATTTATTAGGGATCCCCATTAGCTGCTACCAAGGCAGCAGCTACTCTTCCTGGGGTCCAAACACATTAAGGCACTTACATTACATATAAAACAAAATATTAAACAGTACATCATATAACATTATTACACTACTACTGTACATATCTACAATACAAAATGTATAATACCACCATACAACAATATTACAATGTAAGTGTTTGTAGAGTGCGTGTGCTAGCGCTTGTGTGCATATGCGTGTGTCTGTACCTTTTGTGTGTGTCTCTTCACAGTCCCCGCTGTTCCATAAGGTGTATTTTTACCAGTTTTTTAAAATCTGATTCTACTGCTTGCATCAGTTAACTGATGTGGAATAGAGTTCCAGGTAGTCATGGCTCTATGTAGTACTGTGCACCTCCCATAGTCTGTTCTGGACTTGGGGATTGTGAAGAGACCTCTGGTGGCATGTCTTGTGGGGTATGCATGGGTGTCCGAGCTGTGTGCTAGTAGATTAAACAGACAGCTCGGTACATTCAGCTTGTCAACACTTCTTATAAAAACAAGTAGTGATGAAGTCAATCTCTCTCTCACTTTGAGCCATGAGAGATTCACATGCATATCATTGACGTTAGCTCCCCGTGTACTTTTAAGGGCCAGCCGTGCTGCCTTGTTCTGAGACAATTGTAATTTTCCCATGTCCTTCTTTGTGGCACCTGACCACACTACTGAACAGTAGTCCAGATGCAACAAAACTAGGGCCTGTAGGACCTGCCTTGTTGATAGTGTTGTTAAGAAGGCAGAGCAGCGCTTTATTATGGACAGACTTCTCCCCATCTTAGCTGCTGTTGTATCAATCCTTCTTCTTCACAAAGAAAAACCCAGCACCCACCGGGGAGGAAGATGGCTTGATAAGTCCTGCAGCCAGAGAATCCTGGATGTACCTCTCCATAGCCTCTTGCTCGGGAAGAGAGAGGTTAAACAACCGGCTACTGGGGAGAAGAGCTCCAGGCTGGAGGTCAATGGCACAGTCGTATGACCGATGAGGCGGCAGCGACAGGGCGTGGTGCTTGCTGAACACAGGAGCTAGATCGTGATACTCGGGAGGAACTGATGACAGGTCCGGAGGTTCTGGAATGAACTGGGACACAGACAAGGCAGGGGGAAGGGCAGAATGTAAACAATTAGAGTGACAAAATGAACTCCAAGTGGTTACCTTTCCGGCGGTCCAGTCAATCTGTGGGTTGTGTAGCTTTAACCATGGATGGCCAAGAACCAGGGGAGAGTAAGGACAGTCGATTATGTGGAAACTGATCTTTTCCTGGTGATTTACAGAGAGATGCAGAATGACAGAGACGGTGAGAAGCTGTCCATTGAGAGCATTAGCATCGAGGGGTGAATCGAGTGGGACAGTGTCCAGGCCCAACTGGGTAACGACACCTCAGTCCAGGAAGCTCTCGTCGGCACCCGAATCGATGTAAGCAGAGAGAGGAAAAGCCTGGCTCTGCCACACAAGTCTGCCTTCAAGCAGGGGTCTTGGGGAAGATGGGCAGGTGATTTGGCTCAACAGTATATCCCACACTACTGCCGAGCCCCCTCTTTTGCTGGACTCAGGGAACAAGTGGAGACAACGTGACCAACCTGGCCACAGTATAGGCAGCTCCTAGCGCCGATTCGTCGTTGCCTCTCTTCTGGAGAGAGACGGGCCCGGCCGAGCTGCATGGGGATGGGACGCAGTCGGAGAAGGAGGACAAGGCACTGAAGCAGATGTTATGGGACATGCAACCCTACCTACCCTCTCCCTCCGATGCTCACGGAGACGGTTGTCGATGCGGATAGCGAGAGAGATGAGTTCATCAAGTCCATCAGGCTCATCCCTGGACACCAACTCGTCCTTGAGGGTCTCAGTGAGCACGTTCCGGAATGCTCCCTGAAGGGCCTCCTCCTTCCAGCCGCTCTCAGCGGCGAGGGTGCGGAAATCACATGCCATCTCAGCAACACTATGGGGGCCTTGACGGAGGGACAGGAGTCGTTTAGCAGCATCCTTACCGCAGACCGGGTGGTCAAAGACTTTCTTCATCTCCTCCGTGAATCTCTCCCACACCGCCGTGGCCCAGGAAAGTGCTGCTCCACGGAGGCAGCCAATCAGAAAGGAACATTGTACCAAAAAGGCTCTGCAAGCTCCTAGGTTGCCATCGTAATGCTCGGGAGTTGGAACAATGGTCTCCCGGAGCGGAGGAGAAGGACATGGAACTGGTTGTGAGCTCTTAGCGAAGGGTCGGCCCTGTAGGTCAGACAGGCTCTGTGAAAATTCCTTGATGTGCTCCAGAAGGATCTTCAGGGCTTGGTCATGTTGCTCGAGCAGGGCGCCTTGGCCGACGAGGGTTTGGTGGAGAGTAGCAGAGTCTGCTGGGTTCATCTCTTTGGCCAGATTGTACTGTTACGCGGAGTGGAACAGGGGAACCCAAGAGCAGACTCAGATGAGGAGACTGGGATGAAGTAACCAAGGTATTTATTGAAACACAGGGGGAAGATGGAGTGCAGGTCAGGGGAAACTGCTAGAAACCAGGTGCGGAGGCTGAGGCTGGAGCAAGGGGGGTTGAGACAGGGTGAGCAGGTCCGGAGGGGAATCCAAGAGTGGGGAATCGAGGACGGAGTAGCAGGATGACGAGACGTGGGACTGGAGACAGGGACCAGAGTCAGAGCAGGCAGAACTGTAGCGGAGAGGAAAACAGCGTCAGGCAAGGAAAACAGGCACAACAGGATAACAGGATCTGAATAGTAACAAACGGCTAGGACCATAGACTGACTGAGCAGAGATTACGATCTGGCAGTGTGGAAGTGGCAGGACTGAGTATTTGTAGAGGTCTTCATTATGGAACCGGTTGCAGCTGGTG